ATGTGGGCGCGTGGATTCTATAAATTTAAATATTTGGTCCTTTACTGCTATTCACTTGCTTGGCTTGATCAATCCCCGTGATGGAACGAGGCGACTAACGTAAAACAAAATACTCTTCTTCTTGTTCTTTACTGTCGTAGACACCGCATACGCGATTATAACCGTGTCATCAACAGCTCACCATTCATCCCATTATTTCACTATTTGATGCCATTTAGAAATGCAAAGTTGGAAATACCAGGTCCTTCTCTACCTTGTATTTTCAACAGAGTGGAGGTCTTCCTCTTCCTCTGCCTCTATCGGCTTGCACTGCATTGAAAGCTTCAAAGCTGGAGTATTCTTATTCAGCTGAATCGCATGACTCAGCCAGTGCAGCCGTTGGATTCTGATTCGCTGCACTTTATTAAAATCGTACAGCTGCGATACTCGAAGTTGCCAATGAACAAAGCACCTTACAGCTTACGCAAAACTTGTCTCTTAAAAACTCCCAACGCCCACTCATCGTCGTCCTTGCCTTCGCACCATATAGTGGTATATGAAGGATGATCGAGTTGTAGATTTTGGTCTTTGTTCGTCGATAGAGGACTTTAGTTGTCCGCTCAACCCAAAGACATTGTTTTTAAAGTACGGAATGGATGAGCGACTTGTGGATTATGGTCTTTGTTCGTCGAGAAAGAACTTTACTTGTCAACTGGCAACTCAGTCCAAAGTCGTACCTGTTGGCAAGAGTGATTCTGCGCTTGATTTCCAGGCTGACATTGTTTTTGATGTTAATGCGGGTTCCAAGATAGACAAAGTTATCTACGTGAAAGTAGAGTCGCCATTGCGAGGACTGTTTGTTTGATGATAGAGGATTTTTCGTCTCGCCCACGTTCACTACCAGACTGTCCTTCGCTTCCTTATCCAGTGTTGGAGAAAGCAGAACTCAAGCGGTTGTACACTCTTGTAAAAGATTGTACCCTCTTTATTTAGCTCTGCAGCTCGTATTTTTTCTCCAGCAATAGATTTGAGAAGTCGCACGATAAGGAATCACCTTGTCTGAAAACTCATTTGGTATCGAACGGCTCGAAGAGGTCCTTCTATGATCCTGATGAAGCTTTTGGCACTTAATATCAGTTTACACAGCCGTATAGGCTTTGTGGGTATTGAACTGGTATCTGGCGTTCCTTTTTTCAGAATATTGCATGTATAAAGTCACAGGTTCATTCAGTTTGCTGACAGTGGGCTTTGGTTTTCACGAAATACCATTATTTTTCGTAAGTACTGAGAAGTATTGTGAGATCGATACATTTTGGTACTCAACTGATTGCTGAAGCGATTTTCGGCAGAGTTTCTCCCCCAATTGGTGTTGAGTTAATTCTAAGCTCTCTGCAAACATCTTTTTTTTTGTTCCATATCAAAAATATACTCAGAAGGCCTCAGAATCCTCGCTGGCTGGGCAACTCAACGACACCACAGTCTGGGTTTCCGGTAAAAAGTTGATTTTCTGATTTAAGAACGATCATAGAAGATTGTAGCCGCAATAATAATTGACATTGATCATTTCATCAATGGAGCAGTTTTTTTGATGCGTCCAAGCTCACTCTCAAAATCCACCCGGGGTCTTCCTTCTAAGCTCATCTTCTCACTTGAGCTCCTCTCCAAACGTCAACCAAGATGATACTGAGTTTAGGACCGGTATAAGCAGCATTACTGGTAACACCCATATGAAAACTAGTCTATCAAACGTTATGTGAGATTGTAAATTCATTTAACGAAGCTTGCAGAAGCTAAATTATCTGCAGATTTTGCTTTTTGTTGATTTAAGCTTAGATATTTTTTTGGCACCTATGAATGCACTGTGAACCATCTCTAATATTTAATAAGGACTAATATCGATTATTTTCTCAAAAGTTCTATCACTAGTTAAATCTCAGACTTTCTGAGTGTCTTCGCATAGTGAAAGCGGAACTGGAGGATTTTTATTTCATTTGTCAGAAAAATCGATTATTATTTTTTTTTTTAATTTCTGCTCAAGCAGAAAATTCATAGGAACTTCTCTGTGGCAATGAGATTTCCTTTACAAGAAAGTTTAACCTCAATAACTAATGATTTTTAGGAGAAAAGAAGCCGCATAAAATGCAGTCCAAACGTCATTTATTATTCATCCCGGTTTTTGGGAACAAAAAAAAACCATTTCGCCAAAATTGAAGTTGCATCAGAACCACGTGAAAATTGCATAACAGCTCACTCACTCATATGTACATGTATATGTACATATGCTATGTAACCAAGTATCGAAACCCAGTTTCCGTGCGCGAGTTCCAATAAATATCGTTAAGAATTATTTTTTTTATATATATTTCTTTAGTTAAAATGAAAATAGTCATCGCAATTACTTCCTGAGGCGAACTCAAATTAAATATAACGCCACGAGTTGCTATAAATACACATTCGTTTGAGTGTGCATATGTGCATATATACATATAAATACAAATATGTATGTATGACCAAATTTATGCGAGCACTGCTATGACAAATAACGGTACATCGCAATTGCCGATTAAATTCAGTAGTGATCAGTTTAAGAATAGAAAGGAAAAAAGTCGAGCCCACAACCGCCGGGCACAGCTTGCGAGCTTACACGGATATATAAAATGCGATAAATGTTTATATGTATGTATGCTTACATATACATGTGTATATTTATGTGTAATTTTTTGATGAAAGTTTACTTACGTTCAAATGATCGTAAGTGCTGAGAAAGTACCCTGTAGGGAGGGAAATAAAAGGAAAAAAATAAAAAAATAAAGCAAAAATAATAATAATCGGAAAAAACATAATAATATAAAAGAAAAAATTAAAATAATTATAAATTATTAATTGAAAAATAAATAAATTAAATAAACAACAAAATAAAAAAAACGAATTAAAAGAAGTTAAAAAATAAAAAAATAGGAAAAATAATATGAAATAAAATAGTTACAAAAGTAAAAAAAAAATAAAAAATAAAAAGTAGAAGACAAAAAACCAAACAAGTAAATAAGATAAAAGATTAAATAATAAAATTAAAAAAAAAACAACAAAAAAAGCAAATTTACAAAGGAAATAAAAAAATCGGAAGAAATAAATAAAATATAGTGTAAAATATTTGTGAGAAAAAATAAAAAAAATAAAAGTATTTAAATAACAAATAAAAGATATAAACAATAATCAAATTAAAAAAAAAAATAATAAAAAATACAAAAATGAAAGAAGAGAAATAAGATTGAAAAATAAAATAAAAAGTTAATAAAAAATAAAATGAAAAAGAATTAAAAATAAAATTATATGAAAATATAAATAAAAAGTTGTATGAAGTAAAAATTAAGAAGTAAAACAATGAAACATAAATAAAAAAATTTTGCAAAATAGAAAAATTCATTTAAAAAAAATTGAAAGAAGATATTATAAAATTAAATTGAGAAATATAAAAAATGAAGAATAAAAGCATAAAAGAATAAAAATTAAATAAGAAATATAATAAAATATATAAGAAGAATAAAACAAAAAACGGAAAATCAAAACAAAATAAAATAAAATGAAAGAATTAAAATAATTAAAACGATACAAAATTAAAACAATAATAATAATCATAGGAAAAATAAAAATAAATAAGTATTAAAAAACAAATAAGAAATAATACATAAAAGCATGAAAAAAAAAACAAATAAAGAAATAATACATAAAAGCATGAAAAAAAAACAAATAAAGAAATAAAAATAAAAAAAAAAGCATGAAAAGCAAACAAATAAAGAAATAAAAATAAAATAAAAAATACATAATATGAGGCTTTTCAGCACAAATATAAAATGTTGGCATAAAAAAATATATAATAAAATGCATGAAGCAAACAAATGAATATAATTTTTTAACATAAAAGCTTTCTTAAAGCTCTAATTTTTAAGCTTTTGAGCTTATGCCAAATCATTTCATTTTTTAAACTATTAAAAATATAATATTTTTTCAGAAACTAAATTATTGTTAATATTTTCTTTTGAAGTGGAAATAATAATCGATTTTAACAAAATAGAAGAACACACAATATATATATGTATTTCAATAGAAAAAATTTAAAAATTTTATAGCTTTAAAAAATATTGTTAAGGTATAATTTCGGTTACTAAACTATTCTTATATAAATACGGAAATTTTTTTTTTTTAATATTTATAAAAGAATTTATTAACTTGCCATTAACGACAGTCCTACAGGGCAAACCTTAACCTTAACATTCATTCATACTAAATTGTGGTCTTCAATTTTCGCGAACTAACACACTCTCAGTTTTTGTTTTTTATAAATACTCGTCATACATACAAAAATACATACATATGTATGTACGTATAACATATTAGTATATCCTATACGTCATTAAACATTTATTGCCTTAATCCACAAAATAAATAGTTCAGAAACGCTTTAGAATGGTTCATTCACAAGTTGGCCCTCACTTCCGACATTTGTCGCGTTGCTCTTGCGGAAGTCTACACTTTGTCGCCATAAAGTAACAAAACGTAACGTTACGCACATCGTGCGACGTCTTAATAGATAATATTACGAGCATAAAATGCAATAAATATCCGCGTCCAACCGTTAGCATACTAAGCGATTTGCTTTTAATAATTGCGCCGTGCAAAAATATTAATTACTCACATACATATGTATGTATCAATACATACCTGCGGATGAATTAAAATTTAAAATAAAGTAAAAATTTACGCATATTTAATCAAAACGAAAAAAAAAAATTAAACTAAAAATTTACATAGTAAAATTTGTGCACGAAAAAGGAAATACTTGCCTTAGTCTACATGCCAACATACATACATACATGCAAAAATAAGTGTAAGGAAGTGATTTAAGGAAACGTATTTCTCTACTCAAAATAAGCATAAAAAATCGTTTATTGTAAATAAAATTGTTAATTCCTTAATCGTATTTGGTAAGGTAAATTTTTGCGTTTTAATTAAAAGTCTAAAAGTTTTTACAGTAAAACATTACAAGCTGAAATCGAAATCGTTTGGAGTCGAACTAAAAAAAAATATATATAAAATAAATGTATAAATAAATAAATAATAAATCATACCAAAAGTATTAATATCATCGACGCAACGCCGACCTACTCATATGTGCATACATATGTATATACGTATGTAAATACCTGCAAACCATATAGTATATTTATTACAAGTATTATTAATTAACTCCAAAAAACCGAGAGAATACAAAAAAATAGTGATGAAAACAGTCTTAAGTAAGCGCTTCTTCCCAAGCGTGCTCTTCATACTAAATCTATGCGTTCGTTCAACGCTTACGCGTACAATCGCCACCACCAGCAATTTGATACAAAAACGACTATACGACGATACCGATCCGGTGACATGGTAAGTGGGAAAAGTAAATGTTCAAAAAAGAAAAAAAATACCACAACTAAACTACAGGATTCATGAAATACATATACACGTATGTGTATATAAAAGCCGAAAAAAATATATATATATTTTCTCTTAAACAGGCTCAAAAGAAATTCGAAATTTAAACACATGTAACATATATATGTGTGCTCTTACTGCCATTGATATTGAATATTATAATTTTAAGTTTTCCTACGAAATTTTTTTTTACTATTCGAGGAGGTTGATAGTGTAAGCATAATATAAATACGTCGTTTATTGTGAATGTAGCATAAGTTATCGATATCGATTTGACGCCTCACATATCCGTGGTGTAGTTTATTACTCATTGTCAAACATCTTTTTTTATTATTTTTAATGGAATTTCGGGTATTTTATTATGATCAAAAAGTACCACAAATGTTTTCTATAGCAATTTTTACAACAAAATATTGTAGAAAAATTGCAACTCTCTGTTAAAACGATTATTCGTACGATACAAAAAAAATGTGGCGGAGAAAGCTCTCAGTGTCACAATAATAAAATCCACTGAAGATTTTTTCCGAGACTTACGCTGGTTTTGACTTAGAAGAAAAAGCCTACCCTAAAATTTTTTGCTGACGATAACGACAATATTACTGCCGCAGAAATATCCCTGACATTCAAATCGTCAAGGAATTAGTTATTACCGCGGCAGACACTCAGACAATGGTCAAAATATCCACCACCGCTGCTGATGAACATGCCGATCCTTTCGTTGCTGAAAATACCGTCGTCAACTTGAATTTTATAATCAGCAAATGCCAAGTGGCCGCAATAGTCAAGTGGCACGTGCATGCGTACTCTCATTCAGAAGGTTCGACTAACCTAAAAAATTATAGAAAAAAATTTTTTTCTAATTACCGTAGCTCCACGGTAGGGAATGTCAAGCCCTCGGAGTGAGTGAATAACGGACAACAAATAAAAGCAGCTCGTAAAAATCACCCCCTTGGTTGATAAAACTCTAGACGCGCAGCATAAATCGGAGCAGGAGCTCGACCGAAAATCGCTTCCATTTTATATATCTACATATTTTATAATGCCCCGATCACTCAGTTGTTCTAGATTAAGAATTAACTCTGTTGATAAAGAAAATGGAAATTTCGGAAGCTTTTAGATACAAATTTTTGAAAGGATAATAGGACGCTTGTGGTTGGGAAGTTCATTTCACATTTGAGTAGGTTTAGGATTGTGAGTCAAACGCGATTTAACGTAATTTCTTGTGATGCGTAGTTAGATATCTCCCTTAGTCAGAATATTTTGATACCTAATTATATTAGCCGAGTGGTTAGCATTGCGTTGTGCCATTCGGAAGGCCCGTCCCAACATCCAAAAAACTTGTAGAAAATAAATTTATTAAGAAATTAAGCTTAATTTTCTAATTACGGTCGCCCCTCGGCAGAGAATCTCAATCCGAGTATATATCAAACATGAAATAAACACTCCTCGTAAAAAAAAAAAACATCAACTGTTCAGAGGTTGGAAAAAACATCAAGACTCAAAACCACAAATTGGAGGAGGAGATCGGCCGAAAATCGCTTAAGCAATTACAAAGCGCCAATTATATATATAATCAGATCAGAAATACTTCTGCTTAACTTAATAACTTAGCTGTCTAGTTTAGTGGACAAATGTTTAAGTCATTAGCCAACACAACTGTGAACATATTGGACGAGTGCATAAGTTCGTGCCCGATTTCAAGTGCAAACTAAAATTGAAATTTTTTGAAGAAAGCGCTTTTATTAATCAATTATGTATTCGCCATCATGTTCGGCAATCCACTCCCAACGTTCAACCAATTTACGGATGCCTGATTCATAGAAATCGCGCGGTTTCTCGTTGAAAAAGGTGTCAAGGTGGTTTTTGACGTCTTCCACATTTTTAAATTTTTTTCCATTCAAATTGTTCTGCAGCGATCGAAACAAATGATAATCAGAAGGTGCAATGTCGGGTGAATATGGGGGATGCGGCATGATTTCCCAATTCATCTCCTTCAGTTTGGCCAGGGTCGGTTTTGCAACATGTGGCCTGGCGTTGTCATGATGGAAAAGAACTCCTTTGCGATTGGCCAAAATCGGACGTTTTTCATCAATTGCTTTCTTCAATTCGACCAATTGCTGACAATACTTGTTGGCAGTGATCGTTTCTCCAGCTGGCAAGAGCTCAAAATAGATCACGCCTCGGATATCCCACCAAATGCACAGCAGTACCTTCATCGGATGCAATCCACCTTTCGACATCGGTTCCGCCCCTTCGTGTGCCTGTTTCCATGTTCTTTTGCGTTGAACATTGTTGTACAGGATCCATTTTTCATCACCAGTCACGAGCCGATCCAAAAAAGGTTCGTTTTTGATCCGTCGAAGCAAAGAAATTGCTGTTGACATACGGTCCACTTTGTTTTTTTCACTCAACTGATGTGGCACCCATGTATCGAGCTTCAAAGTGTACCCAACCTTTTTTAAACGACGAAACGCAGTTGATTTGTTGACGTTCAATTCACTGGCAACCTCTTCCGTCGAAATACGTGAGTTATTCGCAACTAAAGTCCTTAGAACATCGTCATCAAGCTCAGAAGGCCGTCCACTGCGAGGTTGATCTTCGAGGTTAAAATCTCCAGAACGAAATTTCGCGAACCATTTCTTTACTGTGCGGAGTGCTGGAGCACGGTCCAAATAAACTTCGCGAATATCTTTAGTTGCAGCGCCTACTGTTTTTCCTTTGCGGAATTCGTATAACATAATATGACGCATATGATCTTTTTCGTTGTCCATCTTCCATGCGTCTTGATTTACAGTTCGGACTGTCACCTTCCAAACGATTCGAACGGCATCCAGCGGAATCGGGCACGAACTTATGCACTCATCAATATAAACATAGCTTCTCTTGGATGTTTGTTGAATTTTGCTTGTCTACATTAAAAGTTCGAAAGAAATTTTCTAGTGTTGGTCGTTCGTTTATTATTTCAAAAGTAAAAATAAATATATTAAAACATTAACTTAAATGAAATGACAATTCGAAGGTCTCCGATGACCGCTTTGAGCTGTGTAACGAGTTCTATGTCGCCCATGCGCTGCATAACTGAACCATAATTGCTTAAACTGTAATCGTAAAGATTAAAAATGAGAGTTTCATGAGAAATCTTTCTCCGATTTAGTGTTGAATACAGCATTGTTGCAAGTATAAACCTTTCATACTCTCAAAAAGAACTAAAGGCTAAAAGGGTGCATTATTTTTTTTGAAATTTTTTTTTTGAATTTTTGAAAAAAGTGAAATATATATTTATATACATATGTACGTCTAAAGGTCGAATATTTTTAAAATATTTCTTTTTTGAAATGATTAAAAAAATCACATCTGTATGTCTGTTTCTCCACTACCCTTAAGATGTATCTAACCCAAAAGGATAAATTGCACTTTCTTAAATACAAAAAAATTATTCACTTTCCATTCTGAAATAATTTGCAAGGAAATTTAAATTTCGTTATTTAATACTGAAAAAAAAAGAAATTTAAATTACTTTTCAAACAAATTTAAATATCTTAAAATTATACTAAACTCAACAATTTGTATTAATTTGTGTACATATACGTTTATATATATGTACAAACAAGTTTGCATTTTGTTAATTCATGTGTAGATAATTATTTAAGTATTTTAATGATGGCTGTTTTGACTAATGTCAACTAAAATTCAACTTTAATGTCATTTTTTTTTTCTCTGTGAATCCCACACCCACCCAAACAGGAATACATTACATACATACATACATCCATCCATTAGTAATTTTTATTGCGAAAATAAAATGGCACTTTCACACAATTTAATGCGCATTTACTTAGTCAACAACTGACAGCAGAATAATTTCACCGCAAATTATTACAAATTTTCAACTTTGAAATTTCACCTTGAAATGGCGAGAAAATATTCTGAATATTTCAATAAATTCATATAATTATTTATCAAATTTATTGCTGTCAATTATGACCAGTAGACTCTTACATACATATATGTATAACTATATTGAGGCTTTTAGTCAATTATTATTTATTATATTTCTTACATGTTGAAACGGAGAGGACTAAATACTTTCTGCTAACTCACATACAATTTGAAAAAGTTTCCCTCTGACCAAACTCTTCAATGTGACCTTTAAGCTTGTTAAAAGTTGCCATAAAACTTTCCCTTCCCAAAAAACTAAGGACAACAGGTAATCCAAGTGATAAAACACAAGCGATTTTGATACTATCCATTCCACTGGTTGTCTGGCTTGTAACCTTTCTCACGATGCAATCGGCTCTGTGAGACCTCTGCTTTTAGGTGTCCCATTTGTGATGAGCAGAGAGATTAAAAAAAGTGAAAATGGTTGCAGAACAAAAGTATACTACTTCATGCCATTTCCTGTAACACTCGTCCATAACCGGCGGAGCTCTTCTTCGAGTATATAATGTGCCTTTAAAAAAAAATTATGCCAAAAAACCCGTCAGCCACCTCCGAACAGCTGCCATATTTTTATGATGAGCTTTTTATTTCATAACAAAAATACACTCGCAAGTGATTGACATTAACCCTGTTCGGTGAGAAATATTAAAATTTCGCGCTGTCGGTGCAAATTTTGCTGGCTTTTTGCCTCGAAAAATGCGGTTTAGTTAAAATTGGTGACAATTGTTAATGCCCATCAGCTCACCAAACAGAACCATTCTCTACCTAAAGCCGAAAGTATGAAAAAATTGCTTTAACTTTTGAAGAAGAAAATTTTTAAAAAACTTTCTTGATTCCAAAGCAACTGCGTCATTAAGCAACTGCTTCCATATTTTTTTAAGCTTTTATGGTGTATCTTAAGCTCTGCATCAAGAGCTTTCTCATACTACAGGCTAAAGTTCGTATTGAAAAACAGAAATGTTTGCTATAAAATGCTTCTCGAAACATTTTCTTGTGTACCTTCTCGGATTCGAAAAGCTTAAACTTTCATCGTGATACTTAAGCTCTCACTCAAGAGCTTTCTCATATGTCCTAATTATGCTGTTGCAAAACAAAAGCTCGAGCGGCCAGTTGAAACCCGATTATTACTGACACATTTAAGATCTGAATACTGTAGGCGACTTAACTGCCACTTTAGCGTACTTTATATTGATATATCCAACTTAAATATTTATGTCCTGCATGTAATCCCACACGACACTAATAAACTCTTTTCATCACCTTTAAAACCTCTATCCCTCTAATCGGTCATGTTAAAAAGCAAGTTTTTCTTTCTTCAAATCTCTATGCTATTCGACGTTTTCACTCAATTTTCGATAACATCGTGAGCTTTAAGCTTTCGAGCTTTCGTCTATTATCAATTTATATGTACATACATTTGTTGAAGCTTTCGATCTTTAAGAAAGTAAAAGTTTACTTTTCCAACTCAATCACTTTGTTTGCCACTCAATCATTTTTGCTCATGTTTTCAAATGTAATTCTGTCAATGGAGCTTTTTGAAAAGCTTATGTATTATTACAATTATTTTTCATCAACACAAATTCCACCTCTTAGCTGCTGCTGCGTGATGTTTGCTATTTTCAAGATTCTAAAGGATCTTCGGCTCATTATTTGTGTTTGGTTATGATGTTTAACGTATCCTCTTTTGTTTCTCTTTAGTCAAATCTACTGCTATGGACCGCTACTGCATACCGTGCAAATGGCGCGCTTGTACAAGGACTCAAAGACATTTGTGGACATGAAGTTGAAAAATCGACCAGAGGAAACTATGGAGGATTACAATGCATTTATGGCCAAGCGCAATAATTCGCCCACCGAGGCGGAGATACGAGATTTCGTGGATGTAAGTTTAAAGCTGGAAAGGCTTGTGCGACACAATCAACATTACATTCTTTATTTTCCTTATTTCCACTTAGACACATTTCGAGGAGCGCGGTAAGGAGTTTGAACCCTGGATACCAGACGATTGGAAAGAGCATCCAAGTTTCTTGGATGCCATCAACGATCCAGATCTCAGACAATGGGGTGCCGATTTGAATGGCATTTGGAAGGAGTTGGGCCGCAAAATGATTGATGATGTACACAAAAATCCCGAATTCTATTCCATAATACCTGTTGATCATCCTGTCATAGTGCCCGGTGGTCGCTTCATTGAATTCTACTATTGGGATTCTTATTGGATCATACGTGGTCTGTTGTACTCCGAGATGTTTGATACAGCACGCGGCATGATTGAAAACTTTTTATCTATTGTACAACGTTTCGGTTTCATACCGAATGGCGGTCGTGTCTACTATTCGAAACGTTCACAGCCCCCACTATTGACGGCAATGGTTCACGCCTATGTTGAATTTACAAAGGATTATAGTTTCGCTATAGACGCACTGGATATATTGGAACATGAATTTGAATATTGGATGAATAATCACACGGTACAGGTGAAAGGTTATGACGTCGCCATCTATAAAGACGCCTCTACGGGCCCACGTCCCGAATCGTATAGTGAAGATGTTATTTCATCATCAGATTTCTCTACAGACGAGGAGAAGGAACATCACTATTCGGAATTGAAGGCTGGCGCCGAGTCCGGCATGGATTTCAGTGCACGTTGGTTCATCCATGAGAATGGTACAAATGATGGTAATTTGACAAATTTGAAAACGCGCTCAATTGTACCCGTCGAACTAAATGCGATTCTGTATTGGAATGCCAAAATGATTGCGGAATTCCATGACAAGGCAGGCAATAAGGCAAAATCTGCTGAATATGAATTGAAAGCTGCCAAAATATTAGAGGTAAGTGCAAAAGAATAGTTTAGTAAGTTATTTAGCCTTTAAGAGGGGACAGGTATGCTTTTAGCACAGTCCGCATAAGATGATGGTAAAGAGTGTCGTACTAGATTACACTCAAGTCGCAATTGATAGTCGGTACCAAATTGGCAGAGATTACAAAAATTTCAAGCTGTGAGTTCAAGATCCTGTGTACATCCATAAAGCCAGCTGACTTCAGTCAGCTAATGAAGCTGTTAAGAGAAAGAGACTACAGTTCATGATCTCTGAGTGCAGAGCTCTATCTGGATAAACTGCAGCATTTTTATTCGGCAACGGATGTTCTTTGAACTAGAGACACAACAGGAAGTATATGTACCATAGAGGTACATATTTTTGTTCGCATACTCGTATAGTACATCTGATCGCATGAAGGACGTAATTTCGTCCATGTGAGACTCCCTAAGAAGTCGATAAGGTCAACATAACCTAACTTCCACTAGCACATATTCTAAGGGTCTCAGAACCGAAGTTACTGGGCGTCTCAGCCACAACATAGAAGGCAATTGGGTGGATGAAGAAGCTACAAGCCTGTCAAAACACCGCCCTGAGGACCGTGACAGGAAGCTATCACATGTCAGCAAGAAGCATCTATGCTATATATGAATTAAGAAGCATAATACTTGCTGTACAAGTCATACTGGAGTATCCTTCCAAAGGGAGCAGCCCAACAGACACTTTTTTGAAGTCGAGCTACCGCCTAGTCATATCAGTCCTCGTAGTCAAGTACCCCCGACTACGAGGACTGCAACCAGTAACACATACAAGAACTGAACAGAACGGCTTATCAACTGTCTGTCAACGACATGCACTGAGTGTCCGTTAACACCTATTTGGACTTTCTACCAGTGAGCGGCATTCCTGGTGCCAAACCACCACCCATTGCAGACGAAAAGCTCGAGCAGGCCGAGCTTGAAAGACTCGTGTAATAATGGCATAATTAATATCAGAATATTGTAGTGGACAAAATTCATAAACTTTGCAGACATGACATGTCCCGCATGCAATGAGTCCACGCACGGCCCTATAGTAAGAACCCATCACAATAGTTCGTTTACTTGAATGATCTCGGTCACTTAGACTGATCTTTCTGCCACAATAATAATAATAATAATAACAACAACAACAACAACAAAATGCTACCGACTTTCTTCAAATGCCATGCAGTCAACTTTCTGTCAGTCATTGTCCTATTGGAACCCAACCGCCTACTATGGTAGACGAAGAGATCAAATTGCGCCTTAAGATCCGTGTAATAGTGATACAATGAAGGCTTGCAAATTGTAATGAACTCAACTCCTGCTTCCACAGACTAGACTCCGACATACCAAACGTACATACGTCCAACACGCAATAAGTCCTCGCAAAATACAATTCACCCTTTACAGGTTCCCTAAAACCAACTTATCCAACATTGTTCCACTTTTATCCGAGCCTGGCGAAATAATTCGTTTCGACTAACTCTGCCTGTACCTAAGATGCGTTACTTGGCCGGTACAACCACAACAGCAACATGGTACCTTCCAGTAGCCGAGTAAAAATTAATTAGAAAGAAAACCGTGTTGTTGTTGTTGTTGTAGCGGTGCACTAGCCCCGCTTATGCACAGGTTTGGCCAGTCTAAGTCGCCGAGGTCATCTAATGGTAGGTCCAGAAAACGAACTGTTTCGACGGGGTTGGACCAAAGGGGGAGGGAGGGGGGTTAGATGAGTTGGTTTGAGAGGGCATGTGAAGAGGTGGCTAGTGTCGTGCGGAGACTCTCCACATGCAGGGCATACGTTGGGTATGCTCGGGTCTAGTCTAAGTAGGAGTTTAACCTGCTACAATATCCAGACCTAAGCTGTGTCAGGGTAGACCGTTTCGGCAACCTAACCCGTTTAGGTCAACAGGTAACTTTAAAAAGAAAACCGTGTAAAAGCTTTCTTTCTAAATGGATTGCAATCACTTAAAGCCCGGCTTCTTTCGAAGAAATCGATGTTACTTGATTCCATGAATATTGCAAAAGCCGAGACAACTTCACTGGTGTTAATCGGTTATACACGGTGTAGCGAAGATTTATTACTGGTTTTGCTATTGTGAATGGTTCATATGAGAGTTTGACCGAAAACAAGACAAATTTTAAAGCTTAAAGCCCTCATTGTCAATTCTTGTGATTTTTTATATTTAATAACCGTTTTTATTTACTTTCAATCTTCTATTTCTTCTTCTTCTTGAAGGCTATCCAAGCTGTACATTGGAATGAAGAAGCTGGCGTTTGGTTGGACTATGACATGATCAATCAGAAACCACGCAACTACTTTGTACCCACTAACTTGGCGCCCCTGTGGACGGGTGCCTACAATCGCAACGATTCGGAGAAAATCTCAGCATCTGTATTAAAATATATTGACGATTTAAAATTGGACAGCTACCCGGGTGGTGTGCCAAACACGCTAGCACAGACCGGTGAACAATGGGATTTCCCAAATGTTTGGCCGCCAATGCAATATCTGCTCGTCGTCGGCTTGGATAACTTGGGTACGGTGGAAGCAAAGAATCTATCAAAGAAATGGGGCTATCGTTGGGTGAAATCGAATTTCGAAGCATACAAACAGACACAAACGATGTTTGAAAAGGTGAGCAAACGAGAGAGAGAGAGAGAGAGAGAGAATCAATTTACAAGATCCCGTAAATAATTTAATAATAAATTAATTAATTTATTTATTTTTATTTAAAGTATGATGCGTTACGCTTTGGTGGTCACGGTGGTGGCGGTGAGTATGAGGTGCAGAAGGGCTTCGGTTGGAGTAACGGTGTTATTGTTGAGTTCCTGACGAAATATGGCGGCGAGCTGTCACTTTCGAATAGTGCGGTACCAACAGGTGACGATGCGCTTTAAAACTAAATACAAAAATAGAACTTAACATTCAAGAAGAAGAAGAAAACATCTGAAAAATTATCAGTAAAATCTCGACTCATTACAGTTCATTTGTCTTTGTTGTTGTTATTGTCTCACAGCATATTGCTAAACTATTTCTCTATATATAATATATACATATATACAATATATATATATATATACATTTATGTAAACTATATAATTAGCGAATATTCACCTAAGATTGCATTGTAATTATACAATAAATAAAATTTGAAGAAGAAAAAAAAAAACAAAAACAAAAGCAAATTATTAAAAACTATTATATTAAATAAAATTTGAAATTTGTTTCATTGCATATTTATAATGTGTGACCATTTACATACTTCTACTTGTAAATTTGTACATAAATAAATCTGTAAATTCATACATATATATGTTTGTATAACGATCACAGCTTAAAATATATTTTCGCTATTTTACAACTAGAGGTGCACGCGCCCTCTGTTTAAGACATAGTAAACTCGTACATACATACTACATAAAAACATTGGCATTTATTCATAATAAATTAAGCATTTTCATTAAATTCCACACAAACATCGAATGCAAAAAAAAAATAATTCAATAAAAAACGATTAGGGAAAATAAAAATAAAAAATAAAAATAAAAATAGAAAGAATAAAAAACCAGGGTAATTGAGAAAGTTTAAAAATACTTCGTAGAATAATGAAAGCTGCTGATTAGACATTTCCTGTGTCCAGAAAAAGTAATATTGTTGTTGTTCTTATTATTAAAATAAAAGAAAAATAATATAGAGTAAATTAAAAAACATGAATTAAAAAAACATAAATTAATTAAATAAAATAAAATAATATATTTGAAACAGTAGATGAATTCTGCTAAAAATTAAATAATGAAAAAAATTAATTAATAATATATATATTGGATGAGTGCATAAGTTCGTGCCCGATTCCNAAGCGTTTTCTTCAAAAAATTTCAATTTTAGTTTGCACTTGAAATCGGGCACGAACTTATGCACTCATCATACTAAATGAAATGACATAAACAAATTTGAGAAACATTTAAAAAATTTAAAAATTTAATATAAAAATATGTGACTAATAAAACTGAAATAAAATAAAATATGAAAAAAAATATAAAAAATTGAAAATAAACTAAAAAATATAAAAAAATTATAAACAAAAAAATATAAAAAAATAAAATATATAAAATAAAGTAAAATTTGATAAAACGAAAAAAAAAAATAAAAATTATTTGAAATAAAAAATGTTAAATAAAAAGAAAAAATTAAATAAAAATTAAAAACAATAAAAAAACATCAAAATAAAATAAGGAAAAGAAACAAACTAATTTGCAAAAATAAAATTAAAATTAAATAAATATTATTTAATAAAATAAAAAATTCAAAAATTATTTAAAATAACAAATAAATAATATAAAATAATTTAAAATAAAAAACTTAAAGAAAATAAATATTTTAAAATGAAATATATATAAAAGTAAATTAAATCAAAAGAAATAAAGTAAATAAAAAAATGAAATATTTTAATAAAAAAAAAGTAATTAAATATAAAATAAAACTAACTAAACTAAATTAAAGTAAAAACTTGAATAATATAATTTCAAAATAAAAAATAAAAATATAAAATATTTAAAATAAAATAATTAAACAAATGAAATAAAAATAATAAATATTTAAAATAAAAAAATTAAAATACCAAATTAAATTATATTAAATCAATGCAAATAAAATATTAAAAAAAAAAACAAAATAAAATTATATGAAAATATATACAAAGTATAATCAATTAAATAAAATAATCTAAATTTAATGGAAAATAAAGCAAACTAAAATAAGTTAAAATAAAAAAAAATAAATAATACAACAAATATAAATTATTTAAATAAAATAATAAAAAAATTAAATATAAGACAAAATATAAATTATTTAAAATGAATTATAAAAAAAAATATAAATTACTTGAAATAATAAAAAAATGAGATCTTCATTTAAACCAAAATAAGTATAAAAAAATTAAACAAACTGAATAAAATAAAAATATAAATATTAATAAATTTAAAAATAAAATAAAAAATCAAATTAAAATAAAAAGAAATATCTAACTAAGAAGTTTAGAATAAAAAAAATAAAATGTAAGAAATATTATAAATTAAAATATTTAACAAAATTAATACCAAAAAAAATTCATTTAATTAAATCAAAGGAAATAAAACAAAATAATATTAAAAAATTAAATTAAATTAATGAATAAAAGAATTAATTATAAAATGAAACAAACTAAATTAAATTATAATAAAAAAAATTAAATAATATAATTTTAAGTAAAAAAATTATATAAACTTTTTTAAAATACAATAATTAAAACAATATAAACTAAAGCATATAAAATAAAAGAAAAAAAATACATATGTATATTTAAAATAAAATAAAGAAAATAAAAGCAAAAAACAATGCATATGTTATCTAAAAAAATTAATTTCAAATAAAATATAAATAGAAATTAAACATAAAATTCATATAAACTAAAATAAATTTGAATGAAAATAATTTAATTGTTTCCAAATCGATTTAGGCGAAGCTATGAAATACTTTTAATAGAAAAATTTAGAAAAGTAAATCTCTACGGCTCAAGCAGAATTAATTTCGATAACCCTTTTTAGTCGCTCACGATGTAGCAATGTAGATGTTTAAGCAAAGTAAAACAATACAACAATATTTTTTAGGATTTGCAGCCGGAATCCAAGAACTTTATCGACAAACGCTGACGGATGTAGCAAAAGTGCCGCGCATCTTTGGATGAGGATATCTAAAAGATTTTTTGATTTTCATTAACAATGTACTTCTACCATTAAAAAAAAATATAAATATATATGTACATTACATTAAGCACAACATATTAATTACAAATCGAATTCCTGCGTCGCTTTCAATGTATGTATATATTTGTACGTAATGCCACCAGCTACGCACACGCCTATTGTTAACCATATGTATGTAAATACACATATTTGTATGAATATTTACCACAACAATTAATCATTGTATATATTATGCATAGTATATGTATGTATGTAAAAAAAAATATATTTTTTGCAGTTTCGAAGAATACAATTTTTAGCTTGACTGTTGCGCTGGTGATTTCACTCTTCGGCACACTGCTAGGCCAAGCACTGTGGTGAGGTAGGTGTCTCAATGAATTACTTCAATTGGATCAATTTTTTTTCATATTACCTTTATTTTCAGAACTTTTTCAGCTTCACGACATACTTTAGCGCATAATGAAGATGTGACCATGACTTTTTGTTTTTGCTTCGTTACTTATAAAAATGCTGTACCACAGGGCCGAGCACACATGTACACGCTAACGATGTTTTGCAAACAATTGCATAGCTTTATGTACGATTGTTTATGTACTAATGTTTTGCAGTGACTTTCTATAATTTATACAAATACTATTAATATTAGAGAATTTAAATTTATTTTTAATTTTATTTCAATTCGCCCATTACATTTTATTTTATTACTAATTTTATTTCTTACAATTTTTGTTTGCTCGCTTTTTAATAAAATATATATGTATTTATGTGTGTATATTGTTGGCAAATAGTTTATTAGCAAATACTTGAATGAATATAGTATGAATGTTTATTTGCAAAAAGCTAAATAAAATAAAGAAATAAATTGACTTAAAATACATACAAATACAAATAGTACTCATTTAATGAGCGACACTTCATGACTGGATATGCATACGCTTTCCTCTCGCATCAACAAAGATACACAAACAACTATCTTCTAAACGATCGAATATTATTAACCAACATGAACAGAGAAATTTTTTATTTTTTATTTAACGCTAAAAGGAATATAATTTCATTGTGACAATAAACTGTCAGACTATCTAAAGGACATTCAATACGAGTATATATATATATGTATTTGCATGTATGTATATGCATGTATACGCACATTGTACCAAGTACTTAAAAGTAACAATAAAAATTAATTAGTTTGTAATTGCTTAGTTAGCGGGTAGCGGATTCTGACTAAAGTAGGGCGCGGTATTTGGTGTTAACAGTGTATGGCAAATATCACAGACACGTACAATCTTCTTACGTGGGCCTGACGGCACCGTCTTCGTCAGACATTTATCGCAATAGATGTGCCCACAGTGGCGGCAATGAATTTTCCGCACCGTCACTGTGAAACAGATATTGCATGTGGGACAATTATCAATGTCTTCATCCTCTTGCCAGCGCACTTCTGTATCGGATTTACGCAATTTCTCCAAGGACATCTGCAAAAGGATAAAAGAGCAGTGAGAAATCAAATGAGAAGGCAATGAAAGCATAAATAAATAAAACAAATTGGGATAAAATAAAATTAAAACAAATGAAATAAAAGAAAACAAAATAAAATAAAAAAAATTGGAATAAAGTCGAATAAAATTAATGAAAATTTAAAAAAATGTATATTATATTGAAAATTAGTAATGAAAAGAAATTAAAAATAGAAAATATTAAAATTAAAAAAAAAAATAAAATTGGAAAATATTAAAATTAAAAGCAAATAAAATTTAAAAAAATTGTAAAAAAATTAAATTGGAATAAAATTAATCAAAGTTTAAAAAAATTTATATTATATTGAAAATTAGTGAAAATTAAAAGAAATGAAAAGAAATTAAAAATAGAAAATATTAAAATTAAAAAAAAAAATAAAATTGGAAAATATTAAAATTAAAAGCAAATAAAATTTGAAAAAAATTGTAAAAAAATAAAATTGGAATGAAATCGAATAAAATTAATGCAAATTTAAAAAAATGTATATTATATTGAAAGGTAGTAATGAAAATTAAAAAAATGAAAAGAAATTAAAAAAAAATATTAACATTAAAAAAAAATTAAATTTGAAAATATTAAAATTAAAAACAAATAAAAATTGAAAAACATTTTTAAAAAAAAAATTGTAAAAAATTAAAATTAAAAAAATTGTAAATAAATAAAAATAAAATTTAAAAAATTTAAATTTAAAAAAAATTAAATTATTATTAAATAATTAAAAAAAGTAATATTATTAGTTAATAATTAAAAAAAAATATTTAAAGAAGAAAAAATAAAAATTATATTAAATAAATCAAAACGAAATAATTTAAAATAAAATTAAGAAATATATAGCCCCACAAAATAAAATAAGATCGAATAAAATAAAAAACAAAACAGAAAAATACAAAAATCGAATAGTATAAGAAATAAAATGAAATGACATAAAATAATTAAAATAAAAGAATAGAAAAATCAAAAAAAAAATAATAATAAAAGAAAACAAATACAAAATGATGCTATTAGCATTAGCAAAGAACAAAAATGAAGTGAAATAATTTAATACAATAAAAATAATAGAAATTAACAAAATAAGTACTAAAATCGAATCATATATAAAATTAAATTCAAAAATATATAGAAAAATAAAATAAAAAAAATAAAAATGCAAAAATCTAATAACATAAAGAAATAAATAGAATTAAAATAAAATTAATTAACATAAATACATAAATACAAAAATAAAAAATAAAATAAATAAATAAAACAAATAAAAAAATAAATAAATAAAACAATTAAAAAAAAAAATAAATAAATAAAAAAAAATTATATAAATAAAACAAATAAATAAATAAAATAAACCAAAAATTTATTAAAATGAGCAAAATAAAATAATTTTAAATAAAATTTAATAAAAATAAATAAAAAATTAATAGTAATAACAATATTAGCTAATTAAATAAAAATTAATTAAAAATTTAACCGAATAAAATTAAAAAAAAAAATTAAAGAAAATACATTGAAATTAAATCGAATTAAAATTTAAAAAAATTTAAAACAAAAATAACAGAAAATAATTTTCAATAAGAATAAAACCAATTAAAATTAAATAAATTTAAATAAAATTGTGTAAAATGAAAACAATATGAAATAAAATCGAGCAAAATAAAACAATATGAAATGGAATAGAATAAAATTTATTTTATAAATCAGAATAAAATAAAAATACAGGGAATTAAAATAAAACAAAATATAACATAATAAAATAAAATTAAAAATATATTAAAATAAACAACATAAAACCTTATAAACTGTAATAAAATAAATTTAAAAGAACTAAAAAAACAAACAAAATTATATAAAAAATATTACAAAAAAAAAACATATTATAAATTGAAGTAAAATAAATTAAAATAAACAAACCAAAGTCGAAACATAAATAAAAGCGAATGGAATTAAATAAAAAATATAAACCATAAAATAAAATAAATTATTATTATAAAATAAAATAAAATTAACTAATTAAAATGAAATAAATAAAACGAAGTAAAGAAAATTAGAAAAAATTTAATAGAAGAAAATAAAACAAAACATGAAAAATAAAATAAAATAAAATATGGTAAAAAATTAAAACAACAACTTATATTATAATATATTATGAAATCAAAAATGTTTATTACAAATTATATTATTAATTAGTAAATATATTTATGCATGTATATTAAAATATACCAAAATTTAAAACTTTAAACAAACTAAAATTATTTTGAACAAATGTATAATTCGTCTTGCTTACCTGTAAATTTTGTGATAATCTAACAAAATCTTTCTGCACCTGCTCACTGGTGGCCAAGTCATCCTGTAGAATTTTGATTTTTGTTTTATAATCTGCATTCACTTTTGTTAGCTTCTCCTGCGATATACAAAAACAAAATTAACATTTAAAATGATAAAATTTTCGAACAACAATATTAATTACGATAGTATCCTGCAGTTCGATGACCTCGACACGAAACCGCGATATTTGTCTATTTAGCTCAGTTTCTTTACGCTCCAGCGTGGTTTTCGCCGTTTCATAAGTTTGTATTGTTAGCAAATGTTCAGTTAAACGATCCCTTTAATATTTAACAATTAAATATTAGTGTTGCGTCTTAATAAAAACTATTTATTTTATTTAAAACTTGCTTCTAGAGAAAAAAAAAGTTAAAAAAAAACTATTTATATTAATATATTGCGTTACATATTCTACATTTTTTTAAGTATTATCAATTAGGCACCAACTAATAAATAATTGATCATAACTAAAATAATGTTTTTCCGACGCTTTGGGAAAACTTTGAAAAAAAAATATTAAAAACAATAATATCTTAGACAGAAAATAATTAGTTTTTAAAAAATGTTATTTATATTTTCAAATCTAATAAACACATATTACACACATAAATAATAATGTTGAAAGTAAAACAAATACAAATATACAAAATAAAGTAAAATGCATGCAAGCTACATATAGATTTTGAACTTACTGCCACGATTTGTTGTCAACCTGCATTTTTTTCTTATATGCCAATCGCTCATTATTGCTTTTTTCCAATTGATCGCGTAAAATTTGAATTTCATCCAACGAGGTTACACATTTCTTACGCTCAAATTCGCTACTTACACGCGCTTGTATTAGATCGTTTTGCTGTTGTAATATTAATTCTTGCAATTCCTCAACAGTGTTGGGTAAATTAATGTCTTGACTCTCGATTTCCTCCGACGTTGCCAAATAGCGACCGGAGAGAAAATCATTATCAGCTTGTAAAGTTTCTAAATGTTTGTTAACCCTTTCGCGCTCATCGGTAACACGTTGCAGCTGCCGCATCACTTCTTCCTTAGTATCCAGAAACTTTTGTTGCAACTCTAACAATTGCTCCTCGTTAGATTTGACTTGTTCACGTAATTTTTGTACTTCAGTTTTGTGTGCTTCACGTCGCTCTTGCCATTGATCTTCCAAGTCTTTACGCAATGCTGCCTCTTTTTGTAGATCTTCACGAGAAACCGCTATAGCCTTTTGCATAGAATTAATTGTAGCTTTATCTTCGGCACTCTTTGCTTGTAGTTCTTGTAGTTGTTTTTCAAATTGTTGACAAGCATCACAGGAAATAGTGTTTTTATCGATGGAAGTGGATTTGTTTATACTTTCAGCATCTTTAGAAGCTTGATTTTCTGTTGAATTTGCATTATTTACTGCAATGCTCTCTTGATTTCGCAATTTATCATCTGTTTCACGTAATTTTTCTTTTAATGCCTCCATTTCTTCCTGCAGTTGCACAACAATCGAACGTAGAACTTCCGCATCTTCTTGTGCCTAAGTGTATGTAAATTTATAATTAATTCATTCATTCATAATAATTTCCATACTTTTCACCTACATAGTCTTTTTTACCTCCTTTGGTCTTGTTGTTCTCATCCATACTTTCCTGCTGTCCTAAATTATTCGGTAATACATTACCAGCCGATTCACCACCTAATTTACGCAAGGTTTTTTTCATTGTACTTAACATCTGCTGCGGCGCCAAACCGGTACTCTCAATGGGTTGATGTTGTGTGCTATCGCGCATTTCACGATTTTCCTGCCACAACCTACTGTTTTCTTCTTTCATTCGTTCTAACTCAGCCTTTAGAATTGTTGATTCTTCAATCGTGTCTAAATTAAAAAGTATATTGCGGTATTTTATTAATTTACCGGTGTAAATAATGCAAATAGACCCACCCTGCACTAGTTGTTGCAATGAGGATATTTCCTCTTGCGCTTTTATCTCTTTTAGTTGCAGCTCGCTTTCCGACTTCAAGTCGGCTACTAGAAATTGGCTCTTCATCTCGTCAAGTTCACGCTGCAAATTCTTACGTTCGGCATGACACTTGGTCAGTTCCATCTCCTTTTGCAAATAGAGCTCTTTCATTTTTGCTCGTTGTGCATTAAATTCATTTTGCATTTTTCTTTTTTCTTCCCGCAAGTTTTCGAGGTGGAAATTAGCTGAACATAATGAATTAAAAGGGATCAATATTTTCAGGTATATAGTTAGAAATTGATATTTATATGGAATTTCATAATCACCGTCATCTTCAACTGGGGCTGCATCTGCAGGAGCAGGTGAACAATTTTCTTTCGATTCCATTTTAGGACGCACTTAGCATGATTTACTCAAATAATTTTTGCACTTTAGTAAAAATTATAAACTTTCTTCCTCTTACTTGCAGATCATAAGCAATAGATATTTCGTAACAAAAACTAGCAAACGTTTATAACGTTACTAAAGAACGCTCGTAATAACGTAATAACGTGTACTTGCATTATTTTAATATCTGATGTTTAACTTATTTTCAGATCGAACTATTAAAATATGTGGTCATAAATTACGATTTTCTAAAAATAGTTAGCTAAGGGATCCACCAACAACAATAACCTGACGATCACGTTTTTCAAGGGCGTCAAAGATGCGTGGGTGAGATTTAACAGATGTTTGAGCCCATTATTTATAATTAATACCCTCCTAAAGCTACCAAGACCTTTCAACGTACTCAAAAATTCAGATAAGTTAATATTTGGATTGGATGTGCCAACGTAACAGTAACTGATTAATCTGGCAGCACAGACTAAGTAGGATTTTGTTTCCTTTTTTTGTTATTATTCCAGCTGATTGTTGATTGTTGTGTTCACATTTTGTATTTTCATTCTTTTCTTTTTCGCACTACTTCGACTGGGCACATGCGTTTTGCTGTCAATTCATAATAAAAAATTTATATTACGCCTGCATTTTATTCATATAGATAGACACAAAATGGTATGAAGTGTATTAAACATTTTTTAAACAATATTTTAACCATATTACACTTTCAGGGTAAAGGCAAAAAAGCTTTTATTGATCGTAAAAAAGCAGTGACGTTTCATTTGGTACACAGAAGTCAGCATGACCCTCTAGTAGCCGATGATACTGCGCCGCAGCGAGTACTTGTAGAAGCAGTGTCTCAGAACCAAGCAAAGGCTACTGCCAACCCTGCTGACTTAGCTAAGCGTCGTGAGGAGCAACAAAAATTTGGTATTTTTTATGATGACGACTATGACTACCTACAACATTTGAAAAAGCCCGAACAGGAAGTTGTTTGGGAATATGTAGAAAATCCAAATCATGCACGTAAGCGTATTGATGAAGGAAAAGTTACAACACCACCGAAATTGGCACTTCCAAGCTCAGTATTCGCTTCAGAATTTGAAGAAGATGAGGGTATGCTGAATCGGGCAGCTATCGTGCCAGGTCCGAGACCAGATTGGGATCCAGATGTAGTTGCAGCTTTGGATGAAGATTTTGATTTTGATAATGAAGAAAATGTGCTGGAAGACGATTTTGTTGTGAAGGCAATGGCTGAAGGTGATGATGATGGTGATGATGAATACGAAGATGACGATAGTGAAGAAGAAGGTTTATCAGATGTAGATGAAGAGAATGAGGAAAAAGATTTTGATTCGGACGATTTGAACGGCAGTGATGATGACGAGGAAGACGATGAAGAATTAATGGATCGCCTCGGACCATTGCTAAGGGATCGCCGTTTCAACGATGAAGAAACCAAATCTCGTTTCACGGAGTATTCTATGTCTTCAAGTGTTATAAGACGAAATGAACAATTGACATTACTGGATGACCGTTTTGAGCATTTCTATGCCACATATGATGATCCAGAATTGGGTGATCTAGCATGTGAAGAAATCGAAGGTGATTGGGACCAAAAACATAGAGTTTTGATGGCATGTTATAGAGAGCACAAACGTGGCAAAAGAGTGGAACCATATAAAAAAGAATGGGATCGAGAACGTGTTGATAAATATCGTAATATTGTCGAAGGCGAACAAGACCCAAATGAAGAATTAATTGAAATAGAGATGAATGATGATAAACAGAAAAAATGGGATTGTGAATCTGTACTATCAACATATTCCAATATATACAATCACCCAAAACTTATTGAAGAGCCAACACGTAGAAGCCGCAGGAGTAGTAAAGCTGAATCAAGTGATGGTCCCAGCAAAATAGAAATTGATCCAAAAACAGGGCTGCCAACAAATGTTCTACGTAATGGCGATAATAATCAACTTACGGAGAAAGCACTAGCAAAACTGGATAATGGTGCATTTTCAAGTGGAGGACCTAAATCATTATGTAATAAATCGTTAATTTCTACTTTAAGTGTACTTTCTATCAGACCAAAGGATGAAACACCTGAGGAAAAACGTGAACGTAAACGTTTGTTAAAGGAATACCGACTGGAACGACGTATAGAGCGGAAAGCAAATACTGAGGCATTCAAAGAAGAGAAAAAGCGCCAAACGCACGTTAAGATCAATCAAAATTGCAATCAACAGGGCAGCAAAATCGTATAAAATTGGTTGTAAAATAATTTTCAGCTATTAAATAAAAAAATGTAAAAAAATTTTTGAGAATTTGTTTTTATTCTAAGTTTATTTTTATCTGTAAATGATTTTGGTTTTTCGGCCTTCAGGTCATACAATAACATAAAATTCGTGGTTGAATTATTATCTTTAATTTTCTCAATGGTTAGTTAATATTTTCCTTTCATTTAAAAATTGTTTACCAAATACTACTATTGATTTTGAAGTTTTCCCTCACTGTTTGTTGCAAAGCGTACAACGTCAGAAAATTTTTGATAAAGCAACCCTGTCAAAAAGTATTGAGTCGAACAGAACATGGACGTAGAAAAGTTTTATTCATGCAAACGATGGTGTATTAATGTAAAATTATAAGAATTTCGGTACTATATTATTGGAAAAAGTGAATTTATGAATTATAATTGAATGAATTACATAATGTGCGTTTAATAAAAATTAAAATATCAGCAAATAATTACAGTTTGAAAAAAGTGAAAAGATATGCAAAAGCAGAAACTGGAATTGCAATAATTGTGCCATTGCATTGGTGTGAGAAGGAGATAGATAGACTCGGCCAGTGATGCAAGTGTGGCGAAAAAGTGTACGCAAAAAGGAGTTGGTTCTATGATTGTCAGCTGGGACTGTCAAAAAACGAATGAAAACAGGAAAATTTGCTTTTGTTTGTTAGTTTGTCTTCATTCTTCCGCTGTCTACTTTATGCAAATTTGTTGTAAAATTGAATTAATAAACGAAAAAATTAGTAAGGAATTTGAATTGTGACAAATGTGTAATACTTTGAAGCGAAAGGTTTTTGGATAATATGGAAAAAAATCATTAATTTGGATGTAATGGGATAATGAAAACTCGTACAAAAAAAAAATAGTTACAAAGACATTCCACCAATTGAGAAAAGAACACTGAAAAGTGAGTTCTGATAAAAATGGGAAGTGGTAAATAGAGTAACGCGTTGAAAAGAAAATTGATGAAAATGAATTGAATAATAATGGGATACAAAGGGAAAACGAAATCAAAAAAACGGGAACGAATAAACGACGCACGACTTTATCCATCCACCACTATACACGGGTAGGAAGAAAAGTGATGCGATAAATCTAAAATCTATAGAAGAAATGTGCTTCAGAGGCTATAGAAAAATTACAGAAAAAACGATAAGCAACAATTTTGGTTATAAAGCCGAGTCATATCTCGACTACAAAAAATAGCAAACCTCATCTTTCTAACTTTAAATTTAGCTTTTTCGCGTTCAAAATGAGTCCAGAGATCAGGTAAATCTGAATTTTACAAAGTGTATAATATGTATTGCGTACCCGTATATAAATAAGGGCCAAATTAATAAATGCATACATATCTACATATAAGTATTTGGTTAAAATAATTATTCGCTAATCACTTTATACCATTGTATGATATGAAAGATTCGATATTTTTACATAAACATAAACTTTTGTTTCGATACTGCTCTACATACTACAATTTGGAATAGCAAGCCGAGTTTGAACTTTTGTAAATAAATAACACTAAACAAACTTGAAAGAGTTAAGGTGCTTACAATAAGACATGCTTACACATATATATGTGTATATATATGTGCAAATATGCGCATAACTATTTTATGGCTTTTTCGCAGTCAATATTTTTCATTAGAAAATTTAATTCGCTTGGAGATATTTAAAAAGAAGGTTAGGGCGTTTATTTATGTATTTTTGTATGTAAAAATGTGTGTAGTGATAGACGATTTTAGTTCTTATAGAATCGAAAGTTATTAAACTATTTTCATATGTACACACATACATATGTATATGTTAATGAGGGTATATAGAAATAAGTGGAGTTGTCAATAAAAATTCTTTTGCATTATAGAAAGCTTGCGATAATTAAAATTTCTACATTTTCTAAATATTACTTGATTTGTATGCCAATGATTATGTACGAGTATGTACATATGTATTTATGTGCATAGGCGCGTACTCGCATTCTCATAAAATCAGATCAAAGACAATGAATGGTTATGTTGTGAAGCATTGTCCACTTACATTAAAGATTTATCATGTCATCTCACAAAATACATAATTCTACAACAATTATTAGCACAAAATATTTAAATCTTATTTAATGTTACAAACAAATGCGAATTATTATTACTATAACCAAATCATGGTAGAAAGGATATTTTTCCCATTACTGTATACGCCCTATCAATGCCTTTGTTGAAATATGTTTTGGAAATATGTAGTTGATCGCTCATTAAACTATAATTTATACTATAATTATTTCTATCTAACTGTCATCGGCAATTAAAGAGCTACTGAATTATATTTAAAATTAGTAGGTATATCGTATTGGTTGATGATAAATTCCATTTGGTTGTGTCTTTTGCGGTTGTGATAGTATTCTTGTTTATTTCAATTATCATTTTAATAACATCTAATTTTATTTCTTAAATTTATTAGGTTGCATTGTGTCGGAAAAATAATCGGATAGGTACCTAAACCGCATATGTATATGCCAAGAGTATGAGAACGACCTTATTGGGTACATCAATATCATATCGCCCAACAAAAACAAGCCGACAAAATAAAATCTCACTGAAAATGGAAAGCCATACGCCTTCTGCGAGGCAAAAAACAAATGCTGATCCAATTTCGGAAAAGGCAGAGCAAGTAAATCTCTTAAGTGAGGAAGAAGAAAAGGATCCACTAGCATTAGATACAGCAATTGAACAGCCCAGTTCACGAAATAAGCTTTCAAATAACGCTAAGCACAGTCATAGTTTGCGGTAAATTTTTAATGCAAATTTGTTAAATTTATTTTTATAACATTATTTATTTATAATATTACATAAATGAAAAACAAATATATTGATAATATTTTCTCTTTATAGACGCCATGTTCCTCGTATCATAGTTAAACCTATACCACCCGAGAAAAAGGTTACTGCTACGGCGACAGCCACGTTAAGTAGCAATGCATCAACATCAACGACCGCTGCAACAACTGTGATTAATGCCACAAGTGGGAAGAATACAACACCGAGCCCTTCAAGCCGTGCCACTAGCAGTCGACGTGCACAACAGCAAGCCAAAGCTGCAGCCGCCGCCGCCGCTGCTGCCAGTGCCGCGGCTGCTGCCGCCGCATCATCGGCATCTCTACCCACACCCATAACCGCCATCACACAAGCGTCCACAATGCGCGAAGTGCTCGCATCTATACCAGGCTTTAGTTTTAAACCACGTAGACGTTCTTCCAAGAAAATTTCCACAGCTGCTCAAATTGAGCAAACAAAAGATGGAAAAATAGACCTGGAAACACCAGATTCAATATTAGCATCAACCAATTTGAGAGCCTTACTCAACAAACAAACATTTTCTATGCTGCCTCCACTATATCAGTATAACCTCATACAGTTGTTACCAAGCGTAGATCGCGAAGCTATAGAAATAGAGCGTAAGACCAACACTGATTCCACCGTAACTATGGATTCTATAAAGTTGGGTCCATCCAGCTTAAATAATGAGTTCTTTGCACGTGCCTGCTTAGAGTGGCGTGAGCGTTTAGCGGAAGGTGAATTCACGCCCGAAAATCAAATGAAAATGAAAACGGAAGCCGAGCGAGAAAAGAATAAATTGGATCCATGGAAATTAAAACATTTTGAACCGATATGGGGTGAGAAATCCTATAATCGCGCCAGTAGCACTAGTAGCAATAGCAGCAATATAAGTTATAGTAGTGGAAAAAGCAGTGATAGTTATAATAATTTAATGGATGAACGGCTGGAATTCAAATTGGAGAGCAAAGGTGGGTTGGTGGCGACCATTGTTAAGACATCTGCGAAAGCGTCAACGGCCCCCTCTACATCAAAAGCCGTAACAGCCGTTTCAGCCATGTCGACAACGAATACAACTGTGACTTCGGCAGCAAGTACTGAAAGTGCTGAGAATACAACATCATCATCTTCTGTTGACATTAAAGAGGAGGATGAAGAATTTATTGATGAATCGATTGCCAGCACTAATGTGAATTCAATAAAAAGCGAGCAGGAAATACAACTCGATGAGCTGCGACAGCAAGAACAAACTAGATCTTCGACGACGATGGATTATGAAAAACAGACTGACACAATTTGCGATGTGGTAAGTGCTTCATAAATCAACTTGATCAAATTAATTACTAAATATTGTTTAACCTTTATTTAAAAATCGTTTCCTTTTAGGATAACATTGGCTGCACAGATTCATCGTCTACATTTGATCTATTGCGTTCAGAATGCAGTAATGTTCAAATGGAAACGCCAGTTGAAGAATCTGAGATAACCTTAGCGCTAGCCTCATTAGATCGTGAAAGGCAAATTATTGATTGTGGGGGTAGCGGCAATATTCGTAAGCGTTCCGAGTCTGATTTTAACTATGAAAATCGCACACAAAGTAAACAAATGAAAATGGAAATGGCACAGGCGCAACAACAACAACAACAACAACAGCAGCAGCAGCAGCAGCAGCTACAACTACAGCAAATGCATCAACAACAACCTGAATATGACATAACTGACGCTACAACAAGCGAAAAACAAGATACCAGCCACGCTATTAGCGTTGAGCTTAAAAACACACTTTCATCCTCGGTATCATCCGCTGCATCATGCTCACAAGAATTGAGTGGTGGCAGTAATAGTTTAGCAACTAGTTCATCTGCAATAAAAGCGCCCACCAACGAAAGTTTTTTGTATAACAGTAATCTGTATAATACGAAATTCGAACAGCAACCCAACGCAGAAATGCTGCTGAAAGATAGTTTGATGTCTTCAGTTAGTAGTGACGAAACCGCCGCTGTTGGCAATAATATCAGTGATATTAGTTTGAAAACAGCAAATTTCCTACAAAACCAAGAGACATCATTTGCTTCAGCAGCAGCAGCCGCAGCCGCAGTCGCAGCCGCAGCTATAGCATCAGTGGGAAATAGTACCTGTAACAGTATTGCAGCCCTTTTGCCAGGCACCTCAACGTATGTGAATGTTAATGCAGTGTCATTACCAGTATCATCGTCATCGTCATCACCCAGACTAAGCGGTGGTCTACCGTTGCAAAGTTTCGCCACCTCACAGGGCAAACAATTGAATGCCTGTTCGATAATCTCACTAGAAGATGGTGATGATGACGATGACGAGCTGATCGAACAAAAATTTGCTGATGCACAAAATTATGTATTAGAATCGGGCGAAGTTAGTACCGATAGTAGTGCAGGTGTGTATATGTATTAAATAGGGATTAATTTTGTATAAAATAAATTTTCTAAGCTACTTTTTTTTATAACATTTTCGAAAATAACGAATTCCTGTGCTTATTATTCTCATGATTTTTTTTATAGGTGCAAACAGTGCTTTACTTACGCCCATCGACAGCGGTAATACAAAGGAGAAGAAATTCATTTTCTGTGATTCAGTTGATCAAGGTAATTGGAAAGATGTACTACGGTAGTCGACGATTACTATTGTTTTCAGCTTATTTCATTAAAATACCTTAACTTATAATGAAGTTCTTTTTTTTTATAAAGTATTATATTGTAGTTTAAATTAATATTGAATTTGATAAAAAAAGGAAAGCTTTGGGTCAGGCCTTAAGCTTTCTAGCTCTTTGTAAGTTCTTGTTCAAGAACTACATTTCCAAAACTCAAGGAAAAAATGCTGGTTACCATCCATAGATAAAGGGAAATAAGTTAGCTAACCGGCAAAGTTACGAGAAGATAACAAAATTTCGAAACTTTTAGAATCCTGCTATTCTGAGCACCATTTTATAGGTTAAAAATATACGTAAAACCATTAATTGTGTTAAACCAATTTAACGTTTCAAAGATAGAATGGTCAGAAAACACATTTGCACGTTGGACCAACTGCTGAATCGAACAGATGTAGTTTAAAGTCTCCCTATGGTTAGTCCTTGCTGAAAGAACTTGTTTCTCAGTCTTTCCGTTGAATGACTTCGATGAAAAAGCCGTTTTTCTCAATCAACAACAAAAACGGTAGAAGCTAATATGCCAATCAAAGAGAGTCCAAAATGGATTCGTTGAGGGTTTGGCCGTCTAACCCAAGGAAGGTTGTAAGTTTCTATTTGGCTTTCAGCAAATTGAAAAATAAGTTAAATTCTAAAATATATTCAGATAGGTAGACAGTGGTTTTGGTCGTATCGTCGGAAAGTACTAAGTTTAATACCGTTAATTATGTAAAAAAAGTCAATTTGCCGTTCATCAAAGGGAAACCGACTATTCCAACACTCCTCTCCGCTTGGAAGGAAACTAATGAAAAAGCTTGTATCCTGAACCCGCTGATGACGTGTACTACTTTTGACTGCTCCTCACTGGAAATACGGAAACGTTACGACAACAACAACCCGGAAAGATTAGACTAGTTTGCAACTGTAATCTGAAAGCCTTCTGAAAATAACATATATCGAAGATCACGGCAATTGTCAAGACGCCGATTGAGAAACTTTAGAATTGACAAAAAAATATGTAAACCTAGGTCTTTTTATTTTTTTTTTTAAAGAGGACAGAGACCAAGGTATAACGGGAAAGGTTGCTAAGGCTAGTCAAGACGCTCAGGGAAGTGTAGCTCCATTGTGCGCCGTAATTGTTTCCCTTACTATTAAATATTCACCTACTTCACCTTGAAAGAAATACATACATATAATAAAATATACTCGTTTCGAAGATTGCTTGCGGGTTTTATCACAATAATAATGTAATCGGTTTGGACAAACTGTGAACTTACTAATGTAAGGAAAACATATCGATATTAGTGGGGCTCCAATAATGGTTGATATCGACACATTTTTACTCTGTTTACGTTGTTTTGTGTCAAATCTACCAAATTTGTTGCTTATATTATTAATAACAACACCTTGCCTGCACCTCATTTTGTTTCGCTTATCTAGCCACAACTTCTCAAGCTTGCGACAATCTCTTCGAAAATAAACAAGACATTGGAAGTTGCATTTCATCGGTGGCCACATCATCTGCCTCTTTATCCTCTTCGTCCTCCTCATCTTCAATGAACTCAGCACCGGCTACGAGTGGCGAAATTATATATACACCAACGGCTCAACTGCCACTTAATCCACGAGTTACGTCCGAGCAAAAGCAGCAACAGCAACAACAACATCAGCATCAGCAAATAATATTGTCGATGACGGGGGGTGGTGGTGGTGGTGGTGAGAAGAGTGAGGATTTGTTTCATCATGTACAACACGATTGGAACTTTGGTGGCATAAAATTGCAACAACCAACAGAAGCGGCATCGAGTAGTTTTAACGGTGTGATACAAACGCATCAAGGCGTTATAAAAATGAAAAATATAAATACGATATCAGTTGAAGAGGATGCGGCTATGCCAAGCGTGGATGCAGCTCAAACTGGTGAGGTCATAGAGTGTATGCGTGTTGAAGATGGTTGCGACGATGCAACGGCGGCGGCTACAGCAGCGGCGATTATTAATTGTAGAGTTGTTGGTGTTGGTGGAGTTGGTGAGGATAATGGTGATCTTGGGGCGGAGGTTGACGATGATGATGATGATGAAGCGGAGGAGGATGAAGACGATGATGATGCAGATGATAATGATGCTGTACGTGATATAGTTGATGAGTTGCAACAGCAGCATAGACAACTACTTAAAGACCAGCAACAATTGCTACAACAACAACAACAACAACAGCAACAACAACAACAACAACAGCTGGATGAACAACAAGATTTGCGTGAACAGGAGAATACGCAACAACGTGGCCATTTAACTTACGAGAACGCCAACGATTACGAGGTACGTAGACCAGTGTGAGCCTTTTGTATTGTATTGTTTTTGTACTAAAATAATCTCGTTTGTTGTTGCAGTTGGACTCGGATATGATTTGTGATGTGCAAATGTCAGCCAACGAAATGGAAGTCTCCAGCACGGTCATAACAAATAGCAATTCGGACGATAGTGTCAATGAGTTGAATATGATGGCCGGCAATAGTCGCCTCGAAAGTACTGCCGGCATTGCTAGTAGCGTTGGCAATGTCACCATACAATTGAGCACGTCCCCACCGACAAGTATAGGTCATTTGCAACAACAACAGCATCAACAACACCAACAGCAGCAGCAGCAATCGCAACCAACACAACCAGCCACAGAGCGTCAAAGTGCGCCACAGCGGCAAATACTCGTTGACACAAATGGACAAATTATTGGCAATTTTCTGGTGCAGCATCAACAACAACAACAGCAGCAGCAGCAACAGCAACATTTTGAGCATCAACAGCAGCTGTTACAACATGCAACACAGCAATTCACATTTCAGGCAGCACAACCACAACCACAACAACAACAGCAACCGCAGACTATAGCGCTTGCGACACAACAACAGCCACAACAGCAGCAGCAGCAGCAACATCATGTGCAGCAACAACAACATGCACAAAAAACTCATCACATTTCTTCATCGCTGTCGACAATCCGTAAAGCAATTGAAATGAGCACAAATGGTCAGCACTTTCTATCGGCTGGTGGCCTAACACCACAGCAGCAGCATATCGGGCAACAATTGGTGCTGACGCAGCAGCAAACCCCACAACAACGGCACTTTTTGACTCAACCACAAGTTCCTACGGTGTCTGCTAGTCCAACACATCAGCAGCAACAACATCAGCTTCAAGTGCAGCAACAGCTTCAGCGCTTTCAGCAGCAGCAGCAGCAACAACAGCAACAGACTCAACATATGCCCGCCTTTCAATCATTAGCCACTCAAGCCCAAACGAATGCTGCCAAATATATCTCGAAGCAAATGAATCTGATCACAATGTCACGCGCCGCGAACGCCGCCACAGTTGGTAGCGCCGCTGCCAGCATCGCATCTGTAGCTATACCGGCTGGCACAGCTGTAAGTACCTACCCGCCTTTTAGCAACGCCATCACCAACGCCACTCGTGCCGCGGAGCTGATTGCCAACGCTGCAGCAAGTGTTAGTAATGCGAGCACTTCGAATGTCAGCGTGGCAAATGTCTTGAAAGGTCTAACGGCCGCTGGCATTCCAAGTACAATCGCCCAACAGCGGCCAACAAATAAATTACCAACCACCGCTAAAGGACGTAAAACAGTAAATAAATTACCGCCCGGTGCCGTTAATTTAGAACGCAGCTATCAAATCTGTCAAGCAGTGATCCAAAACAGTCCAAATCGTGAAAATCTCAAAGCACAATTACGACCACCATCGGCTATATTAAATCAGCAACAGCAGCAGCCACCGCCACAGCCGCAGCCCCAACCTCAGCCTCAACAACAACTGGTACAGAGTAATATAGCAACACCAATGACGCTGCAGGCCACTAGCGCAGTACCAGTAGCGGCATCATCGCCCGCCATATCCCTATCATCTGCGGCACCTGCTGTAACTGGCGCTTCGTCATCGCAAAATTTTATTAAACAAGAGGACTTATCAAGCATTCCTGCAAATATAATGGGTGTTGGGCGACCCGGCGTGTATAAGGTAAGCCGTATGGTTTTAAGTGTCTCTGAATTGACAGCATGAGTAGGTGATTCCATTTGTTGCACAATAAATGACGAATTGAGTGATGAGTTTTTCGATGTAAAATAAGATCAGAGGAATGAGATTAAGCTTGATCAACGCTACTGCAAGTTATATAAGCTATAAATTTGATTCTTTATCGCCATAATTTATTTTTTCCGTCATTTTTCTTATAACGTCAGGGTACCGTCTGTCCAATTTAAAACCATTATTAGGTGCTTTTTACACTATTTTGTTTTTCCTCAGCCGGAATATTTCCATGCCAGCGGTACAATTTATAATAGAAAGCTGTAATTTAAGGCTCCACTGCAAGTTTATTTAATGACAAGAAGCTCTCTTTAATAATTACATTTAATAAGGAAGAGAAAGCTGTTTTGGATGACATTGTTATATTGAATTTTTCACTTTTTAGGTTTTCGGTCCGCGTATGGGATTCCCACGTAAAAAGTATGTTCAGCGGAAACCCTCGCCCACCCTCATACGGCATATTTTCACACCGCAAACGGCGAATACATTACATGCCAATGTAACGGCTAATCCACGCTTACAACAACAATTGACGGCAGCAGCTGCTGTTCAACATCAGCAACAGCAACATGACCTACATCAAAATGGTACGGGCGGTGTAGGTAGTGTGGGCGGAGGAGGTGGTGGTGGTGTTGGTGGTGTTGGTGGCAATGGACAATATGTTTTGGTACATCGTGCAAATGTTGGTGCAGCTGATAATCAAGCGCCACGAGCGTCCAGCGCACCGCCAGTACCACAAACAGCACAGGTTCGTTACTGTAGAATAATGCGTCCATTGTCCCACATACATATATTTAAAGTAGATACCTTATTGTTTCTTATAGAGTCAACTGCACAATATGAATGGCATGCCGATAACAGGACGCGGGCGTCCTGCCTCTGTCGATATTGATGCATCAAATGCGATGCTTGACCATAACAATGTGCAGCAACTACATCCTCAACTACACCATCTACATCATCATCAGCAACAACAACAACAAATTAATGCTATAAAAACAAATACAACAGCTGGCATGATGCGTCGAAATTTTACTGCCGGTATGTATGTTATATATATATGTATATACATATGTACATTTTTATTTAAAAATAATTTTGTAATATAATAAGAATTATTATTATTATTTTTTTTTTTTTTTTTTTTTTTTTTTTTTTTTTTTTTTGTTAAGGAGCCACATAAATAAAATTTTTTTCAAAATCTATTATTTTTAATTCCAGTTCTTCGATTTCATTAAAATATTTTGTATATTTTATAATTTCTAAAAATACCAACAAGCAAATAAAAAATTTTGATTGGAAAAATAGGCAATAAAATAATTTCAATTTCCAATTTTTTACTCTTCTCTTCTTACTTCTTAATTACTTTCTTCTAACTACATCTATTTTGCTATATCGCTTTTCTCCCACCAGGCAATATAACTTATATCGATAATTTAAGTGGAGCAGCCGCAGCCATAGCCGATGGCAATTACATAGTAACTACAACCAATGCCGGAACACTGGATGCCGAACAATTGGTAAGCAAAGCCGTTGCTGTAGCTGCCGCTGCGACGAGTGGAGGTAATGGAGGCGTAAGCGTTGGCGGTGCCGTTGCCGTTGCAGCCGGCGGTGGTAGTGGTAGTGGTGGTGGTGGTGGTGGCGGCGGCGGCGGCATTGGTAGTAACAATATCATCACACGTACCGACGCTGACAATTGTGCCTGTTCATTAAACGCAATGGTTATTTGTCAACAATGTGGCGCATTCTGTCATGACGATTGTATGAGTGCATCGAAGGTGTGTGTCTCTTGTGTGATCAGATGAGAGGATGAAGTCTCTATAATAACCTTTTAGGCCTTGCGCACATGTAGTAGAAGTATTTGTGGTTCTGCACTTAACAAAATACAACAATAGTTATATATACATATATAAATAAACAAATATATATATATATATAGTATATATTGTAATAGAGTTACACATATATTTGATAGATATATTTGTAACAATATATCAAATACATACATACATAAAGCAAAAACACAAATTCTCAATTCTGCAAAACAAAAAAAAAACAAAAATCATTCAACATGTCTACACCAATACATACATAAATACAAATTAAACAGCTGGCAAATGCATAAATACCGTAATACAAGATAATGTAATACAAAGAATATTGCTAAAGAAAATGCTTTATGCAAATATGTACATATGTACAACAATATATGTAACATACATACATACATACTTACGTAGAGCCGAACTATGCGAATTGCTGCCATTTATTTTGAACAAGCGTTGGGTTGTGAATTCTTCTTTCATATTATAGCAAAAAAGTAACAGTGTTTAAATGGAAATACTGGTCTAAACTTGCGTCGGTAAAAAAAGAAGCTTTTTGCTTTTTAAATTTTTTTTTTCTAATGCAAGCACACATTATGTAACAGTAATATTATTTATTATATTAATTTTTTTTATATTTGTTTTAATTGATGAAGTATGAACTCTAAAATTGCTTAATTCAAGAAAATAAAAAAACAACTAATCGAACCTCCTTTTAATGTCATTTTGATTTTAGCTTTTTTATCCTCCCAATTTCCTGCTAACTTGCTATAATATACAAGAAATGACAACGCATAACACATACATACATATTATTTACAAGTTATGCCTATTGAAGCTGAGTTTAATAATTGATTAAATTATTCAATATTTTCCATGTTAGTGTGAGTATGCATATTTTACGCGGCAAAAAAAAAAAAAAGAATTTGAAAAATAAAATTTCACTAAAAAACTTTGTACAAATGCAAAAGGAAAAACTAATGTTGTACATGTTCCCAACACACACACACACACACACAAACACAGACAGACACACAAAACAAAAAATGTAACTAAAATAAACATTGATTGTTGTTAAACATGTTTGGCGCAGCAAAATATTCATGCTAAAGGGAAACTTTTTTGTGAAAATTTTTGCATAATTTGATTGTGAAAACATTGGAAAGACTTCAAATATGATATAATATAAACATAAATATAAATATAGAAATATAAATAAATACATTAATATAGTAATACTATTTTTTTATTGCAAACCATAATTTTTTTGAAATAAAAAAAATCCCAGTTCATTTACCACTTATTTTAGGAGTATTTCAATTGATTAATTATTAATTTTTTTTTATTACTAATGATATTGTTTTATTATTACTAGTTTTTTTTATTCATTATTAAATTTTTCTTTGTTTTTTTCACTTATCCTTTTATCATACTCAATGAATTTTAGTTGGTAGAAGGTATTTATTACGTAAAATGCAAGTTCTTTCGCTGTACAAGATGAAATGGCCAGTTCATGAGTGTAAAAATTTATTCAAAATGTTGTAGTATTTATGAAATTTTTCACACACTGGCCCCAACGAAAAATACCTTCCGTCAAAAACATATTTATTTGCATTACAAACTTTTATATATATAGTTTACATTGAATCCAAAAAAAGAAAGTGATGTAATATATGGAAGCAGCAAATCTTTTTTTTTATATATATTTTATTTTTAATACAACCCCGTTATACATTACATAGTTTGTATTACTTACTACTAAATGATTGCGTTAAGCGTTATGTAGTATATGAAGCGTATAGAAAATATATAAGTATATTATGTATGTACATATATTTGTCAATATACACGCATATAAACATGTGCATGCATACATAGGTTTGTAGGTATGTATGTATATACATAAGTAAATAATGAATAAAATGATCATTTATGTAATAAATATTTTGTATATATTTATTAAAATTCGAATATTTTATGTTCGTTACAATTATTAATTATAATTAAGCTATTATTATTAAACAAAAAATAATTAATAATACACTCACTCACACATACACCCACACACAAAACATACATACATACATACATACATATGTAGCGCATAAAAATTAAGTAAAAAGTTTGCAATTGGTTCCAACTATCGCCTCCCTAACAGCTTGCAAATATACATACATACATAAATTAAAATAAAAAAATCAAGGCTTAACTGTTACTACATACATACATACATATGTTCATTCATATTTGAAATGTATACACACACACGCACTCACGCAACTTTAGTTTTCTTTGTTACTTTGCTTGAGGATCGAAAGAGTTAGTTAAGCCGCCGCCCACAGACAGGGAAGCGTTGGAACCATATAGGCAACTTATTTTGTATATAGTAACGTATAAGTACACCATATATTAAATGCATACATACAAATATACAAAAATAAGTACACACATACACTCAACGTACTGTATTTTAAACTAAAACCTAAAAAAAAAAATAAAACATTTAAAACAAAAACTATAACAAATAAATATAATAAATAAAAATCCGTTGGTACAGAAAAATAGAATTAAAAACTACATACATAAAGTAAATACATAATTTTGCTCCTAGACGCACGTATCGCAAAATATCCAATAAATATTATATAAAAACAAATAAAAGTTAAAACTGTCGTTTGAGTTTTAATAGAATTTTGTAAATTTTTTGGTAGTGTTTTGTTTTGTTTCATAAACCGTACTCAAGGTTTTAGCACGCCGGCTACGCACCTTGCATGAATGTGCAAATTTGCAGAAAAATTTTCCACCTTGAGTAGTGAAAAGACTAAGCCTTTTTTTACTATGTGTAAGCATAACCTTTAAATTTATTTAATATCTCTTTTACGTACTACATTTGTATATAAAAGCATAATACTTAAAATTAAAATATGATATTTGTATATGAGATTTTCTTTTAAGTTCAAATGCGATAAGTGGCTTTCAAAATTGTAAACAATTAGAATTGTACACTTTTACGCCACCCAGAGTCGTGTAGCTTGGAATAGTTTGAATTGATAAAAACGTCCATTTTACTCCTATTTCTTATAGTTCCTCATGCGCCCTTACGTGTCGTTCCTTCTCTTTCGGGAATGCCCAAAAATATGATGGTAAACCCTTAGCATCGCGCTCTCTCTTAACAAACGCACTGAAAGACGAAACACAATTTCCAACGAAATGATTCGCCATACCTAATATGGCAAGATCCAGATGCGGATCATCATTATCCAATCTATAAGTCGACACATTCATGCGCGACAAAGCTGTGTTCAATTCGGTTATCATGTGATTCGCATCTGCAGCCACGAATATGGAACGTATTTCATTTTTAGGATTACTTTGTTTAACACTTTTAATTAGACGTTTAATTTGTCTGATGATTAATTCCTTTGATGGTAAACACAGTTCAAAATAAATTGAACCACGTTCGTTATTATATCCAAGACATTGTGGTGAAGCGAATAATTGTTGGCTATCACGCACATGTTCACAAGCGCGCACCCAATCTATACCGTTGCGTAGATGAAGGCCAATAAATGCGCCAATTGGCAGTTTATTTTTAATAAATGTATGTCTCATTTCATCGTAAATGGGTGACCAACGTAGATAACGCTGCAATTCTCTGTTCTCCATTTGTACGGGAAAACTAGCTGGCGCGCCAGTAAATGGTATAACAGGCCATTCCGAGGCGGGGAATTTTTCTTGCCATTTTGTAGCCATTGCCCGATGATGTATATCAAAATTTAGTGGACTATAGAAAACGGAATCCACAAAGGATATATTGTATGTATCCCAAAATGGACCAAAAGGATTACCATCCTTGGCATGACAATCGGGTTTCGAGGCTTTGTTGGGTGCTAGCGTTTTACGCTCCATATAGCAGAATGAAACACGTTTATCTTCTGGCCATACTTGTGGCGCTATCCGTTGCATAAAGTCTGCCATTAATATGACCCGATGATACTCTTGTAAGGGTTCCACTTGAAAGTAGGTATCGAATGGTACCTGCCTCGATCGTATTTCACCTTTTCTATATTCCACCCATGGAGGTAATATAAGTGTACGATTTAATGCTTTCGAAAAGGCTAAAGCGCCTAAGAAATGATCTGCTTGGTTACCAAATCGCCCTAAAGGATGAAGTAAAATTGATATAAATTACAATATAATAAAGTAGTTCTATATCCTTGAACTCACCCATGCATGGACAATAAGCCAAATAGCCGTTGACATCGATTTCATCCGCATTGTTGAAGGAAATAAAAGAGCCAAATAAAATAAGTTGCAGAAATAAGTGCATTTTACCGGCTTCTTTGACTTTTCGATCAATTGGAAAAAAAAAGTACAAACATAGCGTAAAAAACCAATAAACAAAACTAGCTTAGTGTTGTTAAGTGAACGCTATGAAGAAAGGAAAGAAGATAAACAAACAAGCTAGCTAGTGCTGCAAAGTAACAGACGATTTAAATAGAAACTGATTTTTTTAAACGATTTGTTTATTTCAAAATTTAAAATAAAAAATTTAAAATAATAATAAATAATAATTAATAGTAAAGTCTCAAAATTTCAAGTTTTTACTTTAATTTAATTCGTAAAAATAATTTTTGAATTTACAAGATTTTTTCACCAACAGATGTCTCGCTAGTTTATTTTGTTTCACGTGAATTTGTGTAATCGCGGAAAGGTCGCTTGTAAACCCGTTCCCAGGTAGCCATAAAGCCATTAATTTGTCAAATGAATTCAAATACGCTTAATCAGAAATCATTCATACCCACACCACCGGAGAAAGGCAGCTTTCCACTTGACCACGAAAGCCTGTGCAAAAAATATTATCTTCTATATATGAGCTGCTTGCATCGGAATAACGATAACAACTCACAGTGCCGTCAAGAAGCTAAAGAATATCTTGGCTGTCGTATGCAAAACAATTTGATGGAGCAAACCCAGTGGTCAAAATTGGGCTTTGAAGACGAAAGTAAAACAAAAACAAAGAATAAGAACTAATTAAATATCTGCAACATAATAAATAAAAACATCAAAAATATAAATTTATATAAATCAAAAAAAAAAAAAAAAAACAAACAAACAAGAAGCTGAAATGAAACCACAAAAAAATATATTAATCGGTGTCACGGGAAGTGTGGCGACTATAAAGCTACCATTGCTAATCGAAAAGATACTGGAATTCGAGGAAGATTATGTCATAAATGTGAGTATATCAATACTAATTGGGAAATAATTAGCATTTTAATTAATAACCCACTTGTTCAATTGATAGATCAAAGTAATAACTACAGAGCATGCTAGGCATTTTTTCGAGAGTACACTATTGCCAGCAAAAGTAAAGGTATTGATTGACGCTGCCGAGTGGTCAATGTGGCAGAAGCGCGGTGACTCCGTATTACATATAGATTTGGGAAAATGGGCAGACATTTTTCTTATCGCACCACTCAGCGCCAATTCATTGGCGAAAATATCAACGGTGAGTTAGTTTAATACGATTTACTGCACAAATTCCTTAAACTGTAATCAATTATAAAATTCAGGGCATTTGCGATAATCTGTTAACATGCGTGGTGCGTGCCTGGGATCTGCACAAACCGCTGCTCTTCTGTCCGGCAATGAACACACGTATGTACGACCACCCCTTGACATATGAACAAATAAGCAAGCTAAGATCTTGGGGATACACTGAAATTCCTTGCATATCAAAGATGTTAATGTGTGGTGATAGTGGCAATGGTGCAATGGCTGAAGTAACGACGATCGTCGAACGTTTAAAACCTTTTTTAGAAAATTCATAGCTCTCAAATTGTATAACCACGGGCATACAGCCATTAGACCAGATGTAATAATTGTAAGATTGTAAAAATTATAAGAATTGTAAAAATCTCTTCTAATATGTTCATGCGTACTGTACAGTGCAGTGACGTCATTCGTGGACGAAGAGAAATTAACTACAAAAGCAATATTATTCAATAGGAATATACCTTTGTGCATACATATACAGAAACTTAGTACTAGATTAACAGCCAAACTAAAGAAATTTCAAATACCTGTTAAAACGCTTTGTAAAAAGAGATATATCATAGAGCAAAAATATTATTTGTATATGAATGCATATTTGAATTATTGTATTTAAATATAATGTTAACAGATTGCCTTGATCATAGTAGAATAAATTTATATCAAATCTAAAATAAGCAAAACGGTTTTTTAATTGCATATGTAATATAAATTGAGTGGAGTCCTATTTTCCTACTAATAGAAAGTACTACATTTTAAAAAGCTACCTACGATAAACGGAACTTTAGAAGGAATTTAAAAACACACTCAGGTATTGCTTGTCTAATGTCTCCAGCGAAAAACATTAAAACCGAATGAAGTTCAATTTTTCTTACTTCGAGTTAAATTTATTTATACCATTTATAAATACAAAAGACCAAATTGTTGTCTGTGGCTGTTACGTGTTAAAAAGACAGTTATAGTCTTGTCGGTTAGTGTACTAATTTTTGACTACGCGCCAAATCAAGTTGGGCGGCTGAAACACTTGTCAAGCCTTCACGAACCGAACTCAAATTTTCCTTCCATGCGTACAAAAGATCGCGCAGCTGCTGCCATTGAGTAGCACCAAATGTGCGATGCATTGTCGAAGAGATGTGTACTTTACGATTGGCCTGATCTAGGCGAGCACGCACCAACTTCGTCTTCAACACTTCTATAACGAATGGTTCAACTTCATCTTCGGTTATTTGCAGTTCCTTTGTAAGTGTTTCAAATGACATTTCTGGGTTGCTTTCAGCCAGTTGCATGAATGTTAGTAGACGCATCTTTTTCATATTCTGTTCGTGATTTAAACCTTGTGAAGTAACAAATTCTTTGTGATCTTCGTAGAATTGTATGTAGGATGGTAATTTATCCGATACAAAAATTGACAACAAATCATGTATTAAATCACCCTCCAAGAAGCGTACGGGCTTGAGTGCCAACAATGGATCCAACAAAAATGTGTTTGGGTCAGCTAAGGCTGTGACGATACATTTCATGGCATCTTCGCGTGCAACGCAAGCATTATCAGCAGTATAGGTGCCAAGCAATTCAATCATTACCTTAGCCGACAATTCCAAATTGGTATCTTTCGTTACATCATGTAATAAGCGGTACAACTTTTGCATTTGCTCACTAGATGGTGGGCAATTGGCGAATTGCGATTTCAATTGGTCAACTCCTGTGAAAACTTCCAAAACTTGATCACTTTGTTTGGCTACTTGTACGAGATGATAGTAAACATGATAGCGCAAAGGTGATGATGTGTCCAAGTTGTTGAATAGACGCCACAAAGATTCTAAGCAAACTTTGGCCAATGGTACATTGGGTGCTTTTGTCATTTTTTCACAATAGGCTAAAACAATGTTTTCGCCGCGATCAAGCGGAATCTGTATAAATTCAATAAAATATTACACAGGTTTTACTATTTTTTAAAAAATTACTCACTGTTATCATAATGGAAACAATACTATTAAGGATGCCATCAATCTGCGAGGGTTCGCCATCTTTGAAGCAAACGTCGCAAACTCCTATAATTTTGTGTAAATCATCTTCAACACCTTTGTTAGACTTTTCGGAAGAAATCTCGGCTCCTAGCTTTTTGAAGAACTTTCTAAGCTCTTGCACCTAAAAATATAAATATAGTAAGCAAAGTCGGTACCTCGCTTCAACTCAACTATACAGAAAACATAACCTCAAATAAAGTTAGTTTTATAGCCTTGTTGAATACATAAGTTTAATTCAATTTTTTAATTTACCTGCTCATCCAATGATAAGTCAATAAATACCGGAGGTGAATTCATTATTATTGGAGTTTCAATGCGCTGGACAAATCAGTTTTTAAAGTCGAATAGATCCACAACTACTATTCCTATGCGCTACACGTAGCAGAAAGAAACAAGAAAGTTTCTTCTTCTTTACCGCTATCATTCGACAATATGCATTCACAATTGATAACCATTTCAATTGTTCCCTTCGCTCGCAAAAAACTTGGAATGAATTGAAATAAGAATTTATGTCAAGCAAGGAGTTTTGTAAATAAAATCGCAAATTAAATTTAAATGATACATTTTATTTTTATTATAGTATTTATTATAAAACTCATATTTACATTATAAGTTATCTAAAAATTTGATTAAAACACCTTTTGTGCGTTTGATCATTAATGTATGTAAATAAAATTATATACTTTATTTATATATATACTTTTATTTACGTTCAACTAAATTATTACGTTAATTTTCGGGAGAATATTTTATTGCGTCGGGCGGCATGCTAGCATATAAACCGGATATAATCCCTTGGGGAAGCTCTGCTGGCGCACGCTTTTCACAATCCGGAAACCAGCTTCTTTAATAGCAGCCTCATATGTTTTCAGTGGACGCGTGACTGAAGAGTCTTGTTTATCTTCTTCGACCACACTAGACGATGTAACGTTTTCCTTGACTATCAAATATCCTTTGTTTGATAAGCCATTCCGCATACGCCGGAAGAAACTGAGAAGGTCATTTTCGGTAAGGTGTCCCAGCACCCATTGACACCATATCACATCGTATTTGCCCGGACTAGGCGTGAATTCTTGTAAACCCATGGTATATATTTCGCCAAGACTACCAACATGTTCATTGCCTTCTGTACAATATTCGCGGGCTCTCCCTGTAAAGCTTGCATCTTGTTCCACGATGTCTGTAGTATTAAAACGTGGCATAAGCAGATTTTTCGTTATACGACCAATACCAGCGCCGCAATCCAGAGCATGGTTTTTACCCAGATCTTTTATATCCTTTAGAAAAATACTGGAGCCTTGAATATCAATTTTGTTTAGATATCCCAAACCGCCAAGCATGCCGTTCACTGTGGCTGGAACCTCGGACCAATATTTTTGTGCCTTGCCGTAGAAATCATTTTCGGCTGTAGTACGATTTTCCGGTTGTTGTGTGACTAGATTTACGTTTTGTAAAGACATTTTGTATGCCTTCAAGAATCCGCGTGAGTGATTTCAAACAAAACTCTATGATGTTTGCAACAAACTTACAGCTTATACATTTTTATAAATTGCAGACAAAACTCAAAGCAAATGCTTATTCTACCTAAATATGCTAGCTTCTTCTTCGTAAAGTAGCCGGTTAAAATTATTTTTTTTTATTTTTAAATGACTTTTGAATATTGTAACACAAGAAAATTATTGAAAATTATTTAAATGAATTTGAAATTATATTAACATAAGAAAAATTGAAACAATAAAATAAATCGCTGAAAACCTTAATATTCATTCATAAAAACTCAGTAAACAAATAAAACTAAGCTTAATTTGATTTTTCAAACATATAGTAGCACTATATTCAGCGGATTGCCAGCCATTCAGCGACAATCGGTAGCCATTTTGGCAATGACATCTTTTCTTTCAATTCGTGAAAGTATACGTCGCAATCAGTAGGTTTTTGTGTTACGTGAAAAAAGGTGTTAAATAACTAAACAAAATTGAAAATATATACAGAAAATAGTGTTAATTTAAACAATCTATGATTTGAAATTGAATTGAAGGTGAGTTGTACAAAAATATGTATTATTAGTGCAAAAATTGTGACGTATAAGTTTTGTGTACATTCACACATACAAGAATTTTCAGTGAAATATTGAAGAAAAATTTGCTTTCTAATGAAAAGTTATTAAATTTACATAGTTTTTTTTCCATAAAACAAGTAGAATACTTTATTTTCTAGACGTTTAAAATGGAAATTGCGATTTTTAACAAGAAACTATACTATATATAGTATATTGCATACATGTACATATGTGTATATACATATAATGTGTGTCGAATTCGTGTGTACACGTTTGTATTGGCGATCGGAATCGAAACGTTTCATGCCGTAGATTTATAGCGAATGTTTGCAATTCGTGGTCAACGTAGAGTACGTAACGTATACAAAAACTTCAAAAAGATAATGCAATAAAACGTGAAAAATTATTTGCTAAGAAGTGTAGTAAAATTGGTTATTTTTTTTTTTTTCATTTTAACTTATACGTGCGAGATATTATTAATATTATATTATTTATTAATATTATTGTATTATATACAGTGATTAACTGTCGTTGCGTTAAGGTATCGATTTTGTGTTAAACAAAAATTTAAGCATAAAAAATTATATATTTCTTTAATTTTTTTTTTTCAGGCACTTGAAATGGATACATCTATGAAAACGAAGGAAGAAAATGAAGCGCGGGTGGCAGAGGAATATCTTTCTAGCTTATCTGATCTTACTTGCAACAGTAAACCATTAATAAATATGCTAACTATGTTAGCAGAGGAAAATATTGGATGTGCTTCAGTGATAGTAAAAGTGGTGGAACAACACATCGTTAAGGTTAATAATTTTGTTTACGAATTTAAAATAGGTTAAGGGAAAAGAAGTTATTGATTCATTTTGCCAATTTTATACGTTGATGGGTGTTATTAGTCCATGAAAAGCTATTTAACATGAATCATCAAAATTTTGAGGCTCTTGTGCTGAAATCCCACTGAAAACTACAAACAAAGAAGTATTGAAATTTTTCAAACATTACTTGATATTAATAAGGAATTAATATTTCCATTGTATGTTGTATGAGTTAATACACAACAAAGTTGATAAACATTAATATGAGTAATTCTGAAATTTCAATTCCTGTTAGGTATATCAAAAAATAAAGTAATACCTTTAAATTGTAAATAAAAAAGAGATACAGAATGGAAATTGATTAGCCGTATGGAAATGTTCTTTGATTAAGAACGAATACTCATAGTACTTTATATAGAAAATGCAAGACTTTTTATATTGGATTTAATAATGGATTCATAATTTGATATTAAATTTTAAAGATGCATTTAAAATTTGAAAACATTTTTACAGCAGCGCAAACAGTTTAATATCATAGTTGTTTTTTTTTTTTATGAGAAATTAGGCATATACATAAAAGCAGAAATTGGAAATGGCAAATTATGAACAATTTTATAAAAATTGCATATATAATAGTGTTGAATTTAAAGTTCGCGTTCAATTTTACAGTACGACGAAATGTGAAAATTTATTTAAGATTTTTTGTAACAAACATTTTTTAATTTTGCATGCGTATTCCTTGGAATTATTTCCGAGTTAAAGAAATATTTGCAGCTCTCTGACGTTCCGTACATTCCACCGGATGTGGCTAAAAAAAGTGATAATATGCACCATCTACTTAATAAAATTTAACATATTCACAATATAATAAACTAAATTTAATAAAAATACCTTTTCAAATAGCAGTTATTTTTGTATGTCTTTTATTTCGTGAAACTGTTTTTAGCCATTGCTTTAGAAGAAATGTACTCGGTGAAATTATTATCGCAGAATTAATAAACTCGATTTAGTTCTATGAGAGGATGATCTCATATCTTAAATGTGGTTAATATGTATGTACTATTTACTTTACTGTAAGTGATTGGTTTGCTTTAAACAATAATTGATAATGTATAGAAAAAAAAATGGCTTGGATTTTGCTATCTAAGGAAAGAAAAGTATGTAATTTTCCTACTAAATTCACCGCTGTTTTATTGGATCCTGAGCGTAATGCTATGGCAGGCATTAAACATCGGTCCTCTAACTACATAGGCGTGTATATTTGTTGCAGTTTTCTATAATATATTCTTTCGTTTATTCCCAATGTTCCAATTCTATAGGTACCGCCAGATATAAAGTTGCCTTTGCTATATTTAATAGATTCGATTGTGAAAAACGTAAAAAGCACATATATTCATCTCTTCAGTCAATGTATTGTAAACATATTCTGCGATGTGTTTGAAAAGGTAAGTAAAGCAATTTGAAGTTTTCACTTCAGATTATTATAGTTGTTGGGAGCGAAATCGCTGAAGATTCTACCTATTTTTTTTTTTTAAATAATATTTTTTTTTATCATTTTCAGTCGTATATTCAATTGCCAAATTTTATTTCATTTAGTATTGCTTATAATTTTGAACGAATTAAATAAATATTTTTTGAATCTTCACTAATTTATGCCCAAGTTGTCAACAGCTATTTATAAACTATATGACATGAATTTTTTGTATATATTTTTAACTGTTTTCGTTTCGTGAAGGTCAATGAAAAAGTTCGTGAGCGTATGTATGCGTTACGGCTCACTTGGAATGAGGTTTTTCCCGCACAGAAACTTTACGCATTGGACGTGAAAGTGAAGCGTATTGACAACAATTGGCCGATCACAGCAAAACAAGCACAACCATCCATACACGTGAATCCTAACTTCCTTAAGCAAGTAAGTATATTGAAAAATATGCCAAATTTATGTTGGTAAGTTATTTATTCTTTACCGCTTTACAGAATTACGAACTCAAAGTTCAAGCTGGTGATGTAGAGGAAATCTTGCAAGCTAAAACACGAGAATTGCTAGAGTTGAAAAAACGTAAGCTCGAACTGGAATTGGAGGCGACGAAAAAGAGTTTGGAAGAGCAAGATAAGCAGCTGTCTAAAGTAACAAATGGTCTCATGCAACCTGATGCCATGAACGCTATGCCCGGTGTACGAATGCCAGGTGTGCCGCCTCAAATAATGCCACCTGGCATGATGCCACCCGGCATAATGCCTCCACATCATATGCATCCACGTGCATCGCATCCCGCTCTGATGAGTGGCGCTGGTGTACCACCAGCAACACTATTTCATCCTAATTTTCATCAAACCAGGCCACAACAGCCAACACACGTACCAGTCGGCATGATGAATATGCCACAGGTAAATACGGCACAAAAGCAACAACATATATGTTGTTAATCATTTATATATTATTATTAGAATTTTCCACCTGCAAGCGGCGTCAACAAACCAAAAGTGCATCCAGTTAATCCGGCATTGCTCAATACCATAAGGCATCGTGATCCACGTTTGGCGCGCCAACAACAAATGCAAGAATCGGCGCCGTCAATGCGTGGCTCATCAAAATCCTCTTCTTCGTCGTCAGCATCACGCAGTGCCGACGATGCACATAAAGCTGACAGCAAGTCATCCTCGTCATCTTATCGCAACGGTAGCAGCAAAAGTAGTCGGGGTGATGTTGGTAGCACAGCTTCAGAAAGTAGACATACTTCCTCATCTAGCACTGAACGCACACGTAAAGGCAGCTCAACGCGCGACAAAGATAAAGATCGCAAACGTAGTGAATCGAAAAGTTCAACATCTTCCGGTGGTTCGAGTTCCTCTGAGCGTCATAAGAGCTCTTCGTCGAGCACAGCGACGGGCGTAATCAGCAGTCGCAGCAGTAAAAAATCGACAAGTACTAAATGTGATAAGGATGCTTTTGAGATAGCACCACTTTCAACGACATTCAAACGCAAATCTTCTACAACATCGCTGTCAGGCAGCGAATCATCGTCGTCGTCACGCAAAAAAGATGCGAAACGCAAAACTCATACATCACCAACATCGCAAAAACATCGTTCACGCAGTCGTTCACCAATCGAAACAGCAATTAACAGCGCGAGCATTAATATTAGTGCCGATCGTGACGATAGGCTTGCAATACCGGCCTTCTCCAGCAAGAATCAATCGAAAGGACCCAGTGCAATCAGAAGTGATTCTGATCATGAGGAGGAGCTGAAAAACGCTGCATTAAGAATAGAGAAGAAAAGTAAGATTCGTTTACACTTTAATATTATTTCACAGCTTTTACGAGAAATGCGTATTGTTAATATGCAGAAAATGCAACAAAATCAAAAAACAAAAGAAAAGTGTGGGTGCGTGTGGTCTTTGCTTAGAATTTACACCTATTTGCTACCATAAAAACATGCTAGGTTTGTGGTAATGTGTACAAAGGCTCAATTGTCTGACAATTCATTAACTTTTAAGAAAATTTTGATCTCCTAAATTTATAAATCTGCACTGTTTGGGTTTGTGTTGGTCATTGAAAGCTGGCCTTTAAGTTTCAAGCGAGCATTTTTCACTGCGTTAGCTCAGATAACCCTTGGTTGTTGCGGTCGTTGCTCGTGTGCTCTCTACAATTTTTTTTTTTTACTTTTTTTTTTATTTAGCCCTTACAAAAACCAACTTATTCAATGAAAAATTAAGTATTAGTTTAAGTAGAATTTTTTCAATGTGATAAAATAAACATTTTTTATGAAAAAAATATGCTTAATCAAAGTTGTTTTACTCTCTCTCTCTCTCTCTCGTTCGTTGCTTGACCTCGTTGTGTCTGGAATAAGTTTTACTTTCTATTTTCCACTATTGTTGTTGCTGAGTCTAGTATATCTGAATTGCCGAAGAGTATTTGCATAAAATGCACTTGGGATATGAGCACGCCACACGCCCAAACACACTTTGTTGGTATTACATAAAATACATTCTTGTAAGAGTACAGAAATATATTTGTACATTAATTAGTAAGTTAAAGCAAAAACTTATTAGTAGCTAAAAACGTAGCTGTGATAACTATAATCTATTTAGATTTATAATGATTTATTACTAAAAAAAAAAAACGAAAAAAAATCCAAGTGTACAAAGATTTCTTTTAAAGAAAAAAATTTATAAAAAAAAAAACATAATAAAGACTCGAAAAATAAGCTAAAACAACTTCATTGCTTGTATTAAGAAAAGAAGAAATTTTCAAGCAAAATCCAATACAGTAACTAGAAAATAAATATATTTGGAGCAGCAGATTGATGATTTTGTATGTAGTTTACATTTTCTCACGATCTGTATTTACTACCAAGTTATATATATTTATTAATATCAATCGTATTATGAGTGCTTACTATTTTTTTATTTCATTAATATTTAAAAAAAGGGTAATTTTTTACTAACAGTTCACGGAAAATAATTAAAAAAAAAAAACATTTTTTAAATGTAGATTTTTTTTACATAGTATTTGGTATATAATAATATTTTATTATATCATGTATATATTGTATTGCTCGAAAGGCTAGTTTTTTTTTTTTTTAATAAATTTTTGTTAGAAAAAATTATTGCAGTTCGATTCCGGGTAAAAAAAACGAATTCTCTCTTTATGCAGCCATGAATTTTCCGTATTTTCCATTTTGCTGGTGTTAAAACTAGTTTTTTTTATAATTTTTCTGAGCTTGTTTCTTAGAAAAAGTGTTTCATCTGGCTGAAAGATTTTTTTTACATTTACATTTTTTTGGAACTTAAACAATGTTTTTAAACTAAATTAATCTTGTGTGAAACACAATGTTTAAAAAAAATATGTTAAAAAAAAGTTTAACCTGCGTAGTTTTTTTTTTTTTTTTTTTGAATGTAAAGAGTAGGTAAGGAGAACGGACACGTTTAGTTTGCAAAGTTAAAATTTAATTATGTTGGGTGACTTTTTATTCAATTAATTGTGCTGCAGTCCAAATATCGAACTGAAATTTTTTTAAATTTAATTTAATTAATTTTAATTTTTTTTTTTAATTCTTATTATTATTTTTTTTTAAATGATTTTTAGATAAAAATTTTTTAGAATAAGTTGTATGTTTTCAAATACTAAGGAATTGGTTTAGTTGCAGTCTGAATATCGAACTGAAACTCCTTTTAATTTAATATAATAATTACATACAAGCAATTTGAAATTAAATATTTTTTTATTTTATTTTTTGGTATTTTCTGTTAAATTTTTTACAAATATTTTTTTTTGTTGTTTTACTATATTTTTTTTTTATATATATATTTCTTGCTATTTTTTGTTTTTAATTTTTCAATTTTCATTATTTTTTTTATTTGTTATTTTTTTATTTTTATTGTTTTTTATTATTTTTATTGTTTTTTTATTTTTATTGCTTTTTTTATTAATTTTTGTTATTTGCTTTTTTTTATTAATTTTTGTTTGCTTTTTTTTTAGTAATTTTTGTTACTTGTTTTTTTTAGGAATTTTTGTTACTCTCTTAAATAATTTTTAAATATTCAAATCCTTTAGATTTTTTTCCAGAACTAAAACTTTTTTTAATATAATAATATATTATTATTATTATAGCAAATTTTTTATATTCCGTCTCTTTTTATTTTTTTATATATATTTTTTTAATTTTATATTTTTTTTTTTAATTTTATATTTTTTTTAATTTTATATTTTTTTGTAATTTTTTATATATTTTTTTAAATTTTATACATATTTTTTTTTTAATTTTTTATATATTTTTTAACTTTTATATATATTTTTTTAATTTTATATATTTTTTTAATTTTATATATTTTTTTAATTTTATATATTTTTTTTTAATTTTACTTTTTTTAAATTTTTTTTTAATATTTATGGCTTTTTTTTTTATATATTTTTAAAGTTTTTAATATTGATGGTTATTTGTAAAGGTAAAATTTTCTTTTACAAATTTTGTCTTTGTATATCTTTTATGTTATTTTTATTTTTTGTGTTGCTCTTTTATGTTTTTTTTTATATTTTTTGATTTTTTTTAGTTTTTTTTTAGTTTATTTTTAAATTTTTTTTTTAGTTATTTTTTTAATTTTTTTTATTTAATCTTTGTTTTCTTTCAATTTTTAATTTTTTGTTGTTGTTTTTTAAATTTTTTTTTTAACTTTTTGGTTATATATTGTTGTTTTTTTAATTTTCTTATATTTATTTTTCTAAATTTATTTTATGATATTTTGTTAGTTTTTTATTTTTATTAAGCTGTTTTTATTATAATATTTTGTTGTTTTTTTAAGTCATTTTTTATTTTTTTTTAATTATTTTTTATTTTTTTTTAAATTATTTTTTATTTTTTTTTTTAATTATTTATTTTTGTTTTTATCTTTTTATTTTAGCTTTTTTTTTTTTTTTTGTTCAATTTTATTCCATGATTTTTTATTTGTTATAGTTGAAATTCTAAATTCTTTTTGTAAGCACTCTAATATCTATTACCTACGTATCAGTAGCTTAGATATTATCTATCAGTCGCCCAAATAATATTATTCGCTCCTTTCCGCCTGATTTGATTTATGGTGACGATTGCGCTCTACGCGTGCGTTCTTTACTTTGTTTTGTTGTAATCCTGAAGTCATTATAACTTGTGCACTATTTTTAATTTTTTAAAATTGGTTAAATGCCTACCTTTTTAATTTAATATAATTTAATTTAATTCTTTTTAAATTGTTATTTCTTTTTAACAAAATTTGTTATATTTACATATTATTTTAGTATAATAATTTTTTTTTTTTTTTGACTTAACCTTCCTATAAAAACACTTCATATTTTCCTTGTAAATTTTGTGCCAATTTGTAAAGAAAATAGTGGCAAGCAAGAATATACAAATAAATACATATAAATATAATAAATAAAGAGTAAAAAATATTAATAGTAATAAACAGTAAGCATAAAGAGTAAAAGAAAATATCGTAAGCATAAAAAACCAATTTTAGATATTAAAATAGTGACCGACGGATGTTTGGCATTTGCTGCGCAAACGGACACTGACTTAAGGCAATTCCTAAATCCAATCGCTGCGTACGCGCCAAATTTAGAGCAAAGCGTTAGATCAGCCGAGGCGGCGGCGGCGAAAGTAGAAAATACCACTACAATAGCATTTACTCCCACAACAACAACCACATCGGCAAAAGTGTCGTTTAAAATTCAGAAAATGTTTAATAAATTGGACAAATCTACAGCGCAACAACAACAACACCACCAACAAACAACATTGGCATTAATGTCGACTGCAGGAGCCTCAACAACAACAACAGCGGGACCGATTGTACTCGATCATGACGACGATATGATGCCAGCAACAATAACATCATCATCATCAACGACAACAGCAACTGCCAATGCTAAGAATGCAACAACAGCAAACAACAACATCATGTCAACGAAAGGAAGCAGAGCTGGCGCAGCGGTGGACGACGCTGATGGTAGAGATGATGGTGTTCGCATTGGCGCTAGCATTAGTAGCAGCGCAAGCGTTGGGCGTCATAACAGCTCGGACTCCATAGAGCAGCAGTTGAGCAAAGCTAAGGTGGCAACGTTGTCGTCAAAGGAATTCGATGTGGAGCCCATGGACATTGATAAGGTTAAGGTCAGCGAGAAGAGTGATGAAAAGAAGCGACTCTCCTCACCAAATGAAGATCGGGATGAACCTTTGCCCAAGAAGAGTAGATCAGCGAAATTCGATGCGTAAGTAGTCATTACGGAGCTTTGTATGTAACGTATGTACGTATGTATGTATGTTACATATATTCATGAATATTTGAATTTTTTTTTGCATTATTTATTATATTTGTTGTTTTTTCCTCTAGTTTATTCGGTGATGAAGATGTTGATTTACGTACCGTTATGCCACCACAAATACTAGCTGTACAACAACACTTGCAGAAGAAGCCACACAGACGTGAAAGCAAATCGCCCGAACCACCGCCACCACCATTTATCACAGACGAGCAAAATGCGGAAAGCTGGAACAATTTGAAGGTGAGCTATAGAGTTGTAGGAAATGTCAAACCCATCATAAATCAAAAAATGTTTGAAAAAAACCTGGTTAGGATAAATTTCTGGGATCAATGTTAATTTTGAAAATTTTTAACAAATGAAACTTTAAGTCCCTTCGAGTCCCTTCCGCCGTTCAGCCTTGTAGGTATAGTACGGGCACCCCCCGTATTGTCAATCGTATAATTTCTAGAGATGTTGTACCACGCCGTGTCCACAAACTGTTTTGCACAAGAATCCCTGGCAGGTTTACATGAGAAATGCTCCGGATCAGAGTGTAAAAAGTTGGCTATGTCTGGAATGGTTCTTAACTCTTTGCAAAGTTAGGCTTTGGAATTCACTTTCCAATGTTCTCAATCAATTTTTATACTTTGAGGCTAACGAAATACTGCGGGAACTTCCGAACAACGAAATTCATTGCAATCACGAAAGGCGATGCACAGATCTGTGGTTACAAAGTAATCACCAATCACCATATACTCCCTCCGACAGCCAAGCTTTATTAGACCTCTTCAATGCAATTACACCACATCAAAAGTGGCACTTAAATACAGAAGTATTTTAAACAAGCTTTCGATTAAATGCAACACAGACAGGATCTGGATACCTAGGCAGAGGAAAATCACAGGCAACTGTGCGGCGGACGATCTGCCGAGAGGAGGTACTACGCGGAGCGCACCTCCCTCTAATGGGTATTCACGATAGGAGAATGGCATGTTTTTCAAATGATTTCCGTTGATGTTTGCAGACGAGCGGTTTCAAAATAGGACTTCAGGCCTAAATACATTGGTCAGCCTGACCAGCAACCGCATCAACCCTGGAGCCTGTTGCATTTTATTTCATATAAGCAATACAGGGTAAACATTCCCTTTTGATAGTTGACCCGTAATTATAATTTTGAATTTTTTTATCCATAATTCGAACCTTAGACACTTCTCATGGTCAAAACACTGGGCGTATATGTATATGTATATATTTTTTTATTCCTTTTGACATTTTAAAACGTTAAGCATAAATAAATAATATCAGGCAATTTGGAAAAAATATTGAAAATTCGTTTTACTACCCTTATAAATAGTAGGAGTAAGTCTCATAAACGTTTTTTCATCATTGTCATCCCTCTTTTGTATATTGGTTACTCAAAAGTTTATCGTAATTAAAACAAAACCGTATTTTTATGCATTTCAAGACCTCAAAAACGCCTAAATCCACTTCTCCTTCGAAAAAATCATCGACCCTGGATGACGTGCGCGCCAAACTGGCAAAAGCAACAAAATATAGTAAACTCAACAAAAGTGGTAAGTACAAAAGAAAACACGTAAAACTGTACATTTAAAAAAAAAAGTACAAACAATTTTCCTAACCTCACTTTTTGTTTACAGAAAAGTCTAACAAAGATTTAACGCGTGTGAAACTTTCAGAGCCACAATTAAATGATGATTCACAAGATGCCAACGATGAGAAAATACGCACCATCGTGGCACAGGCACAAGAGCTACTCGAAGCCAACTCCATTAATCAGGATCAATATAAAAATCTTATGCAGAAGGTCATGTCCATAAATGAGTCGAGCAAATTGAAGGAGGCGAAAAAACGCGAATCTCTTGGCGCTGGTCAAACAGCGCAAACGTCGAAGCAGGCAGCGGTAGCTGAGGAAACGGCTGAAGAGCAGCGCGCAGCCGCCGCACGTGAAGCTGTACTCAAGAAACGTATACCAAAGCTACGCCGCGTTTCAGTACCTACGGCCGATAATAATGCTAATAGCAGTAGCACGTCAACTGCTGCCGCAACGGAGCAGACTAATAGTGGCAGCAACCCATCAACAACGCGTTCACCGATTTATGAGGAGCGCAGCAATGACAACACGGATGTAGTGTTGCCACAACGTGCTAAGCCACAGCGTGAAAAACGTGTGAAACCTAGCAAGTGGGGTGAGAAAATTGATTCGTCCATTAACCCGACTCTGGCAAACAACAATCTAAATCAACCTAAACCATGGACCAAGGGCAATATGATGCGTCCACATCCAGGTGTTGGGGGCTTCAGAGGTGGGCCACCACCCAATATGCCCAACATGAACAATATGCATCCATCATCCATGCCCTGGCAAATGCAAATGCCACCCAACGGTGGTCCACCATTTGTGCCAGCTGGCCCAATGATACGCAGCAGCGTGCCGCCACCACCACAGGCACCAATATTGCCAATTATACCACTACCGCCCAGCATACCGAAACCCTGCAATTCCATCGATAATCCACAAGCCGATCTAGTGCGTACGATAACTATAGATGGTCTCTCCAAGGAGATACGCATTTACGATCAAGTCGCCATTGTATTTATGGAACTGGATCAGCCACGTGAAATCGGTTTTCAAGCCGGACAACGCTCGATCATCATTGATGACCAACCACCGATTGCGTTGCAATTCAATGATGACTACAAAACCTTCAACATCAGCGGGCAGCCACATCGTCTACGTTTCGGTTTTCCATCGCGTGAACTATACATAGATGATCAGTGGTATGAGATATATTTTGGTGGGCCGCCCGTTTCTATACCCGTACAAAATCGTATACACATACTGAAAGCGGAGGGACCACCGCCACAAGTGAATATCGGTGCGCTGCGTCGTGACTTGGTTGTTGGCAAAATCAATATGATCGTCGATGCACACATCGTCATACCGTTGTTCTTAGATGCGAAACCGCAAACCTTTAAATTGGGCAATCAAGATCACACTGTACAGTTCGCGGATAATTTGCTTACCGTGTTGTTGGATGGTGAACCAGCGAAAGTGGAGTATGGTGGCTTGCCAAAAAGCTACTTGCTCGGCGGTGTAAGCTATTTCATACGCTTTGGCGCTCTGCCACAAGGCTTGAAACCGGGTCTAATAGCGGTAAAAGATATGATTTATGTAAAAACGGAGCCACCAGCACCACAGCCCCTCATACCAGCTATCGCGGCAAGCGCAAATGCCACAACTGATGTAAAACCAGCTGAGAGTATGAAGTCAGAGATTGAGGCTAAGACTGAAATCAGCGTCATGGCCGAACAAGCTGTGCCACTACTAACTACCGAAAACAAAACAGATGCAGCTGTTAAAGCGCCCGTTACGGAGCAATTAACGGATGAAACGAGTGAACCACAGGTGGTGGGCACCGCAGGCAGTGGCAATTCGGCTATACCGATATTCTCCGCAACGGCATTAAATAAAATCAACATCGATGAACTATTCCAGAAACTAGTCTCATCTGGCATATTGGGCGGCGGTGGCGCTGGTAATGTTATTGCGCCGAGCAATAAAGATGCTGGTGTTTTGCCATCAGCCGCTGCGCCCGAAGAGGAGCTACCACAACCAATTGCCATACAGCCGATTGACTTAGGCAAATCGGAAACGATTAAAACACGTCAAATGGCACTTGTGGACACACTCTTTTCTGGCATGCAGTGCAGTAGTTGTGGTGTGCGTTTTCCGCCAGAGCAAACTATTAAATATAGTCAGCATTTGGACTGGCATTTCCGGCAGAATCGTCGTGAGCGGGACCAGTCACGCAAAGCGCATTCTCGCAAATGGTACTACGATCTCGCCGATTGGGTGCAATATGAGGAGATTGAAGATTTGGAGGAGCGTGAAAAGAATTTCTTTGAAGCGCAACAAAATGATATCGAAACTGTCGATGAGACATCCAATCAGAAATGGCTCAATTCACCGACGCCACTCAGTTGTCCAGCATTACCGGAAGATGTGGATCGCGCTTGTGATATGTGTCAAGAGAAGTTGGAGCAATTCTATCACGAGGAAACTGAGGAATGGCATTTACGTAATGCCATCAGGGTGAACGATAAGATATATCATCCGTTATGTTATGAGGATTACAAGGTAACATTTCTTAACATTTTTTTTTGCAATTTAACTTCAGTCCACTACCATACGATTCAATTTTGATTATTTAGGCTGCGCTCAATGCTAAGGATGAGAAGCCTGATAAAAAGACGGAAGAAGCTCCGGCTGGCGGGGATATGGAAGCTGACGATGATGTCATTATTAAGATTGAAGGCGACGACCACAGTGACGGTGGGTAGTTTTTTTTTAAATTTAAGACATCATCTACTGAGTACTTAGTAAAGAGTATCTAGTAAAGCCATTCAGAGAGATTTTAATACACAGAGTTTAGTCTCGCTTTCACTAGAACAATTTGCGTACCTTTTTATAAGGCATTTCTCGGGAGTCGATACTTTTTTACTTATGCTTTGTGATGCTTTAGCGCTTAGTAGAATTTTTATTTTTAATTATATGAATTATTATTTTTTATTTTATTAATAATAAATGAAATTCGCTCAGTTGAAGGTACTGCTGCGAAAAGCACCGATAATGCCATGGATGATGATGACGATGACGTTATCGTATTGCCGAATGAAGAACCTTCAGTAACAGAAATTGAGGATGACGATGAATACGTGCCAGAGAGTGTACCGCCCACGAGCGAAAAAGCTACCATTGACGTTGATTCAGATGATGAAAACAAAAAAGAGGAGATGGAGATCGTGAAGGAAGCAGGGGAGGAGGAAGAAAATGATGCAGCTGATGCAGACGCCGCTGGATCAGATGTAGAAATACAAGAACCACACATTCCATTCACAGATTTGGATACATATGTGGAGAAAGAGCAACCGGAAGCCGATGAAACATCACAAATGTCATTCATGAATGTGAAAATCAAGGAAGAACCCAAGGATGACGACGAGGATGAAGATGATGGATTCGAAGATGTAGGCACTGTGGTGATACCGCTTGATGAAGAAATTTCCATACAGAGTAGTGGTAAGTGGTGTTTTGCATATGGAATAAAATGTAAAATTTATGTTTTTTCCTTTTTTCATTTTATTTACAGAAGAAACCCAAACTCAAACAATTACATCGTCAACGTCCGGCATGTCGCCCACTGCCGAACGCCCACCATCCTCACAGTCTCTCGTGCAAGTTGACGAAACAGAATTCACTGAAGGTTCGGCTGCGCCTATCGAGTTGAATACCTCCATCGATGGCAATCCGGGCAATGAAGAAGATGAACATAATCTATCCACAGTTGGTCCATCACCTGCGATACCATTGGCTAGCTTAGTTAATAAAATTAAAATAAATATTGCTAAGAGTAGTATAACAGCAAATAGTAATAGTAATAATAATAGTAATAATACTGGTAGCAGCACCTCCCAAACAGGTGCAGCCATACCAACAACAACAAACACATTAGCCACCAACAATTCAATGAATAGTAGTAGTAGTAGTCCCACAAAAGGTTCAACAACAACGTCTGATGCCTTTCACGCAGGCGACGATAATGCTGAGAACGCCGCAAACGTTGGCGATACCACCGCAGCGCAATATAGCAATGTCTCGGCAATAAGTGTGGTATCCACAATACCGGTACTGTGTGGCGGTGGTACTATGAGTGCACGAACCATGACGACAGTAGCACCTCCTCAGCCGGCGGTGTCGAGCAGTAGCAATTTAAAGAGCATAGCTGCCAATGATGAGTCTAGTGTAAGTACGATATCTGTTATTGGCAGCTATAGTGGCTCATCCTCCACACCGCGCTACTTCCCACCATCCACAACCAGCAGCGCTGCTTCAGTAACTGCAGCTGCATCCAGGCGTCAAACAACAGCGCCGCCAAAGCCGTCAACGCCACCGCCACCAGAAGAGGAGACGCCGTCGTACGAGTTGAAACCCGCGCTGCAAAGTGCGAAACTCAAAAAAATGACTAAAGTAAAATGCGGCGTCGAGACATCGGGACTCTGTTCTGTTATGTAAACAGCGTGGCGAGGCGCATGCGTAAATACCTAATATTAGTGTAGGCGAATTTTCGAATATTTTTAAGTAATTTAATGGTATACCAGGAAAAGCTATCCCTTCTTCTTTGGAAGCATTTCACATTGGAATGTGAATGGATGATTTTACGCTATTGTGTATATATGTATATTAACACATATACAAGTGATTAAGCGTAATACATATGTATGTGCGTGGATTATGTTTTAGAATGTTTGAGGGAATTACATATATATATATGTAAACTTTAATGTAATTTTAATTTAAATATCCACAGGTACAACAAAAACAATAGTGTTTTTAGTTGATTTTTCTATTCAATCATAATTTTGAGCATATTCTTTTCGAAACACTTAATTCAATTAAACTGCGCAACATGAATGTACACACATTTCACTGTGCTCGCGCAGAACAGGAGTGTGTGCATGCGTGCGGGTATGCGTTTGACTCGTACCTTTTGAATATGGGTCACATTACATTACTCGCTCCTTATAGTCATCTCCCAGTTTTACAACCACTTGGACACATTTCGAAATATATGCATACCAATAAACAGAAAAATAAAGAACACTTTGTTATTACTTACTTGCTTACTTTACTTACTTATTATTTGTAAAAAAAAAACCGTTCGTCATGAATAATATGAATAAACTGCATTATTAAAATATTAACTGAATTAAAATAAAAGCTGTGATCTTATTTAAAAGCAATGTCTGGCGGGCATGCGCAGTGAATGGGAGAAAACTGTAGCAGTTCGTGCGTTTTTAAGTTGGTCTCTTAGAAATAGGCCGCTAGCCGGATGGGGCAGCTAAACCTTAAAAATTTCGGCGATCTGAAAAAAACTCTTAACAGTTTTTCGAATTATTTCGTGTTTTCAAATTCATGGGAGTTTATAATAATTTCTTTTTGCACCATAAAAACATTAAAATTTCAGGTTGCCAGGAAAAAAAAATTTATTGTAAAATTTCCTCCAAAAAATGCATTAATAATTTGTTTTAACCCTTTTCTTTGTTGCTATGTGCTTTTCTGTTATTTATATAACTGATTTGTTACATTTTTTCATTCATAATTCTCCATAAGTTTTGTTACTATGAACTGTAATTATAGACCGTTGCAAGCCCTCAAATACGCACAACACTAAAATATAGTCAAATCCTTTGGAAACTAATTGTGTTGCAGTCTAAATACCGAAATGAAATTTTTTTAATTAATTATGTCATTGTATTAAATTATTTATTTATTGTTTATATATATATATTCTTTTTCTTGTTACTTTCATATTATTTTTTGTCTTTTTTTTGTTTTTTCCTCTTTTCTGCAAATATCATTTAATTTTTATTTTTTTTTTCTTTTGTTATGCCTTTTTATTTTTTGTTGTCGTTTTTCCGTCACTTTTAAATTATTCTTATATTATTTTTATTTATTTATTTTATTATTGTTTTTTGTTCTTTTTTGATTATCCTTAATTTTTGTAAAATTTATCTTTTGTTGTAATTTTTTATGTAATAGTCTTTTTATTATTTTTAATTTTTTTTGTTTTTGTTTATTTTTGATATTTTGTATTTTCATTAAATGCCTACTATTTTCAATATTTTCCGCCATATTTGTATATGTTTGTATGTATGTGCAGAGTTAAGGACACAAATTGTTGTTGTTGTTGTTGTTGTAAGTGGTCAGTATAACTACTACCTGCGTAGCAGCTATATAAGGCGTAGAGGACGGCACAGTAGATCAGATATCTTACATCCGTCGCTCAGACAACATTATCCGCTACTTTCTGCCTTAATTTATTTATGCGCTTGTTTTTTTTTTAAACAAAATTCAAAAAAAATATATAAACAAAAAATAAAAATTTTATCTATAAATAAAAATACATACATAAAAAATATATTAACAAGTATATAAATATATAAAAAAAAGATAAATATGAAGAGAATGACGAATTATCGTAAGCATAATGAAGATTTGGGTGAACCTTTGCCCAAAAGGAGTAAACCAGCAAATTTCTACGCCTCGACAACACGCTTGCCGATTTACGAAGCACGCAGAAATGGCAACAGGGTGTGGCCACAGCGCGAAAGACGTTGGAAGCCTAACAAATGGACGTCCAAGGAAAATACGATGACGTGGACCAAGGGTAACACGATGCCCAGTAAGGGTAACATGATGCCCAACATGAACAATAGCCGCTACCACATCAACAACAACATGCTTTCCCAAACGTCCTGGCTAACGCATATGCCACCCAGTGGTGGTCCACCGTCAACAACGCATGCACCACAGGCAACAGTATTGCCGCCAATAAATAATATCAACATCGATGGACTCTTCCATAAAATAGTCGCATCCGGCATAGTGGGACCTGGTGGTGTTATTGCGCCAAACAACAAAGCTGCCGGTGTTTTGCCATCAGCCGCTGCGCCTCAAACGACACAGGATAAAAAGACTGAAGAAGCTTCAGCTCCTCACAATCCCCCGAGAAACTGGACGGAATGGAAGGCACTGAAGTTACAGCTAGGACAGCCGTCACAGAACTGAACTGAATACCTTCATCGATGACAATCCCAGCCATGAACGCGATCATAATCTATCCACAGAAAACAGTATTGCAAAGAGTAGAATATATATATATATATATATATATATATATTACATAAACTTTAATGTGATTATAATTTAAATTTTGGAAAACTATCTATAGTGTTTTAGTTTCTAGTTTTTCTATTTTACCATAATTTTTAGTGAAGTATATTATTACCAACAATTGTTCTTACTTATTTACTTCACATACGTACCTATTATTTGATAAAATAAAAAAAAATAAAAATAAAATGTCAACTAAAAAAATCAAAATTGTGTTGATATTTAAAACAAATAAATGGTGGGCAGGCGCAGTGGCAAAACCTATTTGAATGAGAGAAAACTGACCATGCTTGGGGGCACAAGTTCGAAATATACAATATATAAGATTTTGTGGCACACATCCATATGTACTCGTGCGCAAGAACTGAAATACGAGGTGTGACAGTTAAGTAATGAGACTGATTCCGTAAAAACCGTATATTTCAAAATTATTCCACAACTCCGCCATGCCTTTCAAAGTAGTTCCCTTGGGCAGCTATACAACGATATCAGCGCGCTTTCCATGTTTCATAACATTTTTGTAACGTTTCGACTAGGATGTCCGCGAGTACGCTCGTCACGGCCGCCTGGATGTCCTCAATCGACTCATAATGGGTTCCTTTGACTACCGATTTTGTTCTAGGAAGCAAAAAAAGACACATGGTGACATATTGGGTGAATAAGGCGGTTGTTGCAACACGATGATACCTTTAGAGGCCAAATACTGCGACACGCTGAGGGCGGTGTGGCACAGCGCATTGCCGTAATGAAGGATCCACTTACGAGCGATGCCTGGGCGCAACCTGTTGACTCGTTTTCGCAATTTTTTTGGCGATAGTAGACTTGACTTACGGTTCGCCCCTATGGAAGAAATTCTTTGTGGACGGTTCCACGGCTTTGATAATAGGCAATACTCATCATTTTCCTGACAAGCACCATGAACATACGTTTACTCAACACGAGACAGCAGGCGAACTAAACAAGCTAGAGCGGTGCCAAATATATCAGTGTAGAGGAGAAGTATGCCGGGAGAAGAGAAAAGAAATTTCAAGGTCGCAGGGTTACCGCAATCACGGCAATATAATCAGTCTCATTACTTAATTGTCACATCTCGTAGATACCGGGAGTTGAATTTTATGTGTTGTGGAAGAGATTCTTATAGACCGCTTATAGGCAATCAAAATTAAGTCGACAATGTCGCCAACCTTTAGGCACATGGAACGGCCAGAATATTGAAAACCTCTGAACCCACAGAAGGACAGCCGTCACAGAACTTAACTGAATATGTCCATCGATGGCAATTGGTTAGTAGTAACAGTAACAACAGGCGTTAATCCACATTACCGTAAAGGCCGTCAACGCCACCGCCCCACAAGAGGACACGACTGCAGAGGGCAAAGCTCTGAAGAACGAAGACAGCGATTTTCGGATACTTTAAAGAATTGAATGGTATACTATGATAATATAATATATCAATACTTATAACATCGTAGATATCATGAATAATATGAATGGACTGCAATACTAATATTGGGTAATAAGTGAGTGCCTGGGAGCTCGCAATGACAGAAAAGCTAAGTTAATTTTTGAATCGCCTAGAATGTTAACCCCTCCGAGTGTATTTCGGACATGAAATAAAGGTTATGTTAGGTTACACTAATCGAATGCGGCTCCTAACATAGCCCCGTTCGAGTTGCCGAAAGCCTTGATATCTAGTTTTGGTCTGCATCTAGTCCTCCGAATTGTGAACCTCTCAGAGGCGGATGGCATAATAGGACATGTTCAAGCGTGTTCTCCTTCGATGTTCTTGCACACTTGTTTGGTAGCCAAACAGCTGACACTTTTGGCAATCACAACGACTATTTCCTTTCCCTTAATGTTCGTGTGGTCGTGAGCCCAGTACCAATGAAACCACTCTCCTGTGCCGCCACGTCTACTATAGCTATGTATGTCGAATACGTGTATATTCGAATTTTCCCATGTCGGTATACACAATTTGAATGTGTTTGTCTGCACATACTGTATTTAAATGCTCGAGTATGAACTACCCGCACAACGGTAAAATATATTCAAATCGTCTGTGTCGCAGTCTACATATGGATATGAATTAAAAAATAATATCTTGTTATATTATTTAATTTCACATTTATTTATTTTTATTTGTTATTTTTTATTATATTATTATTTTTTTTTTTTGCTTCTGTATTGTAATTTCTAGTGTTTTTTTTTCAAATTTATATTATTTCATTTTATTTTTTGCAATGTTTTTGCCTTATTTTAATTTTTCTACGTTTTTAGTATTTGCTTTCATATTTACTTATTTTTTTTGTTAATATTTTTTCAATAATTTCTTTCACCATTTTCAATACTGCCCATCTATTTGAATATGTTTTTATGTATGTGTAGAATTAAAACCCCAAATAATTGCGTATATAAATTTTATTGGAATCGTCCTTTTTGGGTAAATAAATGTTGTAGGCAACAATACAATCTTTGAAAAAAAGCGTTAAATAAATTTTATTTTGCCTGAGTAACCCTTTTTTTAATTTGATACGCTATTATATTATATAATTTACAATTATTACATTTTATTTATTGTTTTTGTTAATTTTTTTTAATGCTTTATCATAATATCATCACTAATTTCGATAAAGATCGATAAGCCTCAGCAGGAAATAAAATTTCGCCAGTTTAGAATTACATATTTTTAATATTTATTATAACAAATGTTGAATAATTGAACGACACCAACACATACTTGAATTGTTTTGAATTCTCCAAAAAAAAAAGAAGAAGGTTAATACCAAGTTTCAAGTTAACTAGATTTCGCCCACCGCTTCGCCCGCATGGTATTTCAACTTAGTTGTAATTAGATTTCCGATTGGTTTTTAAGTTGTCTTCTTTATTATAGCAAATTACTGTAGAATGCTTAAATGCTCAGTACTTAAAAAATATAACAATATATTTTAAATTCAAATATCAAGCAAATTGGATTACATAAATCATCAAGAACTTCATGTCAATTACCGTGGATACCATTATATGTATGTCTGTATGTATGTATGTATGTATGTATGTATGTATGTAAATGTTTGAAGGGTAACAGTAAATTTTTCTCCATTTTCGTTGTAGGAACATCGCCGCAAATAGCAGGAGGAGCTAACTTAGTTCAGTAAAAAAAGGAAAAATAATACTTTTATTTTTTAAATGTAGATTTGTTTTCACTTAGTGCTCGATATTTAGATATTTTTGTGAAAAATTTCATCCGCGGAAAATAACAAAATCTCTAAGTGTTAATAGTCTTTTTCATAACTTCCATGAATAATCCTTCTTTCTCACTTCGTGGGAGTTAAAAAACGTTTCCGAAAAAAATTCTTTTATTAGTTTTTCGAATTATTTCGTGTTTTCAAATTCATGGGAGTTTACAATAATTTCTTTTTGCACCCTAAAAATATTAAAATTTCAGGTAGCCAAAAAATATATTTTACATAAATTGTTTTAACTCTTTTCTTAATCGCGCTGTATCTTTCTTTTCAATTTAGCTGAGTAGTCGTCGCGGGTAAAAAGGGGTTGGGCAAGGCACACAGGCACGTTATTTTTGAAAAATAAAATGTTCATTAAACTGGAACCGCTTTGTTGCTATGTGCTTTTCTATTATTTATGTAACAGATTTGTTACATTTTTCATTAATTATTCTCAATAATTTTTGTTATTATGAACTGTAATTATAGACCGTTGCAAGCCCTCAAATACGCACAACACTAAAATATAGTCAAATCCTTTGGAAACTAATTGTGTTGCAGTCTAAGCACCGAAATGGGAATTTTTTAAATAAATATGTTTGTTATTGTATTAAATTATTTATTTATTGTTTATATTTATATATTCTTTTTTTGTTACTTTTATATTATTTTTTGTCTTTTTTTTGTTTTTTCCTCTTTTCTGCAAATATCATTTAATTTTTATTTTTTTTTTCTTTTGTTATGCATTTTTATTTTTTGTTGTCGTTTTTCCGTCACTTTTAAATTATTCTTTTATTTTTTTTATTTATATTTCATTGTTTTTTGTTCTTTTTTGATTATCCTTAATTTTTGTAAAATTTATCTTTTGTTATAATTTCTTATGTAATAGTCTTTTTATTATTTTTAATTTTTTTTGTTTTTGTTTATTTTTGATATTTTAGTATTATTTTTTTATTTTTTATTTTTTGAATTTCATTAAATACCTACTATTTTAAATACTTTCCGCCATATTTGTATATTTTTGTATGCATGTACAGAACTAAAAACACAAATTGTTGTTGTTGTAAGTGGTCAGTATAACTATTGTACTACCTGCGTAGCAGCTATATAAGGCGTAGTGTAGAATAACAGTAGATCAGATATCTTACATCCGTCGCTCAGACAACATTATCCGCTACTTTCCGCCTTGATTTATTTATGCGCTTGTTTTTTTTTTAACAAAATTAAAAAAAAAATATATAAACAAAAAATTAAAAAATTTTCTATTAATAAAAGTACATACATAACAAATATATTAACAAGTATATAAATATATATAAAAAAATAATAAAAAATAAATATGAAGAGAATGACGAATTATCGTAAGCATAATGAAGATTTGGGTGAACCTTTGCCCAAAAGGAGTAAACCAGCAAATTTCTACGCCTCGACAACACGCTTGCCGATTTACGAAGCACGCAGAAATGGCAACAGGGTGTGGCCACAGCGCGAAAGACGTTGGAAGCCTAACAAATGGACGTCCAAGGAAAATACGATGACGTGGACCAAGGGTAACACGATGCCCAGTAAGGGTAACATGATGCCCAACATGAACAATAGCCGCTACCACATCAACAACAACATGCTTTCCCAAACGTCCTGGCTAACGCATATGCCACCCAGTGGTGGTCCACCGTCAACAACGCATGCACCACAGGCAACAGTATTGCCGCCAATAAATAATATCAACATCGATGGACTCTTCCATAAAATAGTCGCATCCGGCATAGTGGGACCTGGTGGTGTTATTGCGCCAAACAACAAAGCTGCCGGTGTTTTGCCATCAGCCGCTGCGCCTCAAACGACACAGGATAAAAAGACTGAAGAAGCTTCAGCTCCTCACAATCCCCCGAGAAACTGGACGGAATGGAAGGCACTGAAGTTACAGCTAGGACAGCCGTCACAGAACTGAACTGAATACCTTCATCGATGACAATCCCAGCCATGAACGCGATCATAATCTATCCACAGAAAACAGTATTGCAAAGAGTAGAATATATATATATATATATATTACATAAACTTTAATGTGATTATAATTTAAATTTAGGAAAACTATCTATAGTGTTTTAGTTAATTTTTCTATTTTACCATAATTTTTAGTGAAGTATATTATAACCAACAATTGTTCTTACTTATTTACTTCACATACGTACCTATTATTTGATAAAATATAAAAAAATAAATAAAAATAAAATGTCAACTAAAAAAAATCAAAATTGTGTTGGTATTTAAACCAAGAAATGGTGGGCAGGCGCAGTGGCAAAACCTATTTGAATGAGATAAAACTGCCCATGCCTGGAGGTACAAGCCCGAAATCTACATTCATATATAAGATTTTGAGGCACACATCCATATGTACTCGTACGCAAGAACTGAAATAGATACCGGGAATGGAGTTCTATGTGCTGTGGAAGAGGTTTTGTTGTTGTTGTTGTTGTTGTTGTTGTTGTTGTAGCGGAGTAGGAGGAGTTTACACTGCTACAATATCCAGACCTAAGCTGAGTCAGGGTCACGGGGGTCTCTCGAGGCAGCCCGAGCTCGTTGTCTGCTATAGATGGTGGTTTTTCTCCGAGTACGCCATTCACTGGAGGGGATTCCTTGAAGGTGTTGACAGACTCCTGGTGAATGGCGTTTAGTGCTTGTCTGTACGCCGTCCTGTCCAGCGGCTATTGTACATTTTGCTGGATTGCGTCCTTTAGGTCTAGTACTCCCTTTCTGATGGGCCTAGGTGGAGGTTCAGCTTCCCTGCGGAAGCATCCCAATAGGAACTGCTTGCACAGCAAAGCATTATGCTTCTTAAGTCGTAGCATAGATGCTTCGATCTGCAAGCCTGTAGCTTCTTCATCTGCGTCTCGTTCGTTCCCGGCGCCCAGATCGGTGCAGCATAGTTTACGTGTGGAAGAGATTCGTATAGACCGCTTTTAGGCAATCAAAATTAAGTCGACAATATCGCCTACTTTTAGACACAGGAAACTGCCAGAACATAACCGGCTACATTGGGAACTTTTCCGTTTTTTTTATCAGACTTTTTAGTGAGTTTTAAACGGAGATTTTTATTTCAAGTCGAGTAGAGAAAGCAAATAGAAAAATAAATATTCTACAATTTTGTATGTTCGTTGAAGCAGGATTCCAACCCAAGCCGTCCGCTTTTAGTACGCAATGCTAAAAACTCGGCTATTACGGTCTCATTAAAACATAAATCAACTTCCACGCAAAATGTTATACTGTGCATTCACACACTGTCGTTCATAAATATCATCACTAATTTCGATAAAAATCGATAAATCTCAGTAGGAAATAAAATTGCGCCAGCTTAGAATTACATATTTTTAATATTTTTTACAACAAATAATGAGGAATTCAACGCCTCCAACACACACTTTGAGTTTTCCCGAGCAATTGGAGTGCTTTGAATTCTGTAATACCGATTTTGCTAGTAATTTAATAGCGCTAGGTAGTAACAAGAAAATTATTTTGGGGCTCATAAGTTTGCCGGTAAATATTGCATATAGTAAACACATGTAAACATGTTTGATTTTTACTCTATACATATTTGATATCATTATTTTTTTTCAGGAGGAATCTGGTTGTTTTGATTGGAAGCGTTTGAAAGACCTATACCACGAAAGTCGTTGTGTTTCGCTATGCTTTGCGCCGGAAACCTCCTTGTCCTTGGTGCCAAAGTCAGTTACATTTTGCGCTGCTGGTTCAGATTTTCGTTTGCGAATATTTCGTACGGATTTGCAGAATTCTGATACTGTGCAAATTTTGAAAGGTTGGATATTAAGAAATTACTCATATAGTGTATTTAATTGTAGTTTTTTCTAGGTCATACAAATTACATCAATGAGGTTATTTGGGATTGTAATGGAGAATTTGTGGCATCTGTGGGTGACGATAACACATGTCGCATTTGGGATACAAAATCTAATTTTGAGAACACTGTAACATTTCATCTATTATCGGCAGGAATGTCTGTAAAAAGCCATATAGAGGAACCACGCAAAGTGCTTGTAGCAGAAAAAAGGGGTTTAATACATCTTTACAATATACAAACGCAAACCGCAATAATTTCAGTAGAATCACAAAAATTTCCACTCCGCTCCGTAGATTGGTGCTCACTGAACCGCATGTGCATAACCGCGCTAATAGCTGGTGACATAGTCTCATGGGATTTGCGGCGGCCGACACCAATCGACATAAAACAAGTGCATGAGGATGGTGGTCAAATTGTGCGTATTGCGCCCAATGCCGAAACTTTGGTGGCTAGTGTCGGACGACCGGATGTATCTGTGAAAGTTTTCACTGCCAAATCGAGAATACCTTTGGTCGATGCTACGCTAAAACTGTATGGCGGCTTATCGTGGCATCATCGCTTGCCTTACATAGGTGTGGCAACGGATAGGAAATTATGTCTATGGAAGTTACAAGTTAAATAAAAAAAATTACGGTTGTTTTTGATTTATAAATGCGAAGTTTTTATTATTTATAAAAATTGGATATTTTGTGGTGAGTGTGTGTGTGCTAGTAACTGAGTAACAAATAGTTTTTAATTATTGGCATTGGTAGCTGCAGTAAGATATTCCTTATAACGGGCGTCTTGTTGTTGCTGTAACTTAGTTAATTTTTTTATCAAACCTTTACTCAATTCCTTGCCCTCAGCGTCATGTGTTGGCAAACCCTTAAAAAACGTTTTAATAATAAAAATATAAAAATTATGTGCAAAAGTACTTATAGATGTATTACGTTCATTTAATTTTAAAATTACTCACATTTTCATCAAATTTCGAATATTTATCTTTTTCACTAAGAAACATTTCCTGTGGTTTTATCCGTTTCTGCGCTTCCTTTGCAGCTAAAAGCTGTGCAGCAGCTTCCTGTTTACGTTTCTTTTCAGCTAAACGCTCCGCCTCAGCAAGTTTTTTCGCTTCACGCTCCCTCAATAACACTTCACGATCTACCAACTTGACAGCATATTTGCCATTTTCTTTATCCTCCAGCCGCACACCCAAATTGGGTAAAACATCATCCCGCAATTTGTCGCACAATTGCAGAATATCATTAGCTTTAATCGTTTTAGCTTCCTCACGTACATTATTTCGAAACTCTGCTACAGCATCTACATAGGGTAATAGCGTTTTTTCAATGTCCACATTACCGCTTCCACCGCTGCCGACAGGAAAGCCTATACCTCCTCTTGGTCCATCAATTGTGCCGAATATATGCAGCATATCCGTAATGTATGCAGCAATGCGACGTAATAGAAGACAATTTAATTGGTCTTTATTATCACGAATATATACATTGGCGACGGCAACGAGATCCCGTAACGCATCCAGTGTGCTACGTGTGTCAATGTTGTCTATATGATATTATAGTAAAGTACATATACCCATGTATGTATAATTTAATAAGTATATTACCGCATAAAGCTGCATGTACAGCCTCCCGTGTCAATTTCAGTTTATCTTGTAAGGCAGCCTCGGCGCCGGTCCATACGCCAAATTTCGAGCTAGGTGTACCATTTTCGATATGACGTGTTAAATCTTTTACATTCAAAAAAAATTCCTGAAATTCAAATAAAAATTAACAAGTTCAAAAACTGTTTGATATTCATCTATTTACATTCATGAAACGCTCGTATTGACAGGCCATCTCCATTGTGTTCGGCGAATAATCGAGAGTATCTTTCCATGAGTGCAATAAAAATGCAAGTCTTAATTGACTGGGAGTATTCTTCTTCAACGCTTCCTTTATCGATATGAAATTTTTCAATGATTTCGACATTTTGCAACCAGCAATGGTTAAATGACCCGTATGCAAAAAGTATTTCACCCATTCTGATTGATTGTAAGCGGCTTCGGATTGAGCTAATTCATTATCGTGATGTGGAAATTTTAAATCGACACCACCTGTGTGTATATCAAACATTGAGCCAAATATATCGGAGGCCATAGCAGAACATTCGATATGCCAACCGGGACGACCCCAACCCCAAGGACTCTCCCATGAAGGCTCACCAGCTTTACTGGCTTTCCAAAGCGCAAAATCGTTCGGTGAACGTTTTTCGGAGAGACGATCTTCTGTAACTGACAAATCACCTTCACCCTCCTGCAAAGATTTCGTATCGCCATATGCTTCTGGTACAAGTTTTGCATAATGATGCTTTTCACGTTTATCGAAGGCATTCACATCGAAATAAACAGAACCGTTAGCATTATATGCAAGGCCATTATCGAAAATTCGCTCTATGAACTTTACTATCTGCGGCACGTATTCAGACACACGTGTAAGTACATCTGGCGGTAATATCTATGCCAAATTTATAAAATAAATTTTTATTATACAAATTATTGTTTTTAAATATGCTTACATTTAACGCATCCATATCCCTATGGTATTCATTTTCAAAATAACGTGGCAGTGTTTCAAATATAGCGTTATCCTTTATAGTTGAACCTTCTTTACGATCCAACCACTCGGCTATAGGGTCTTTAGCTTCTCCTAAATACAATACGCGCGCTTCATCTATTTTCTCTGGGTCATTACTGGCCACAGCCATAATAAGCGTCTCCATTGCATCATTCATTTTAATTAGCATACGTTCGTACATTAGTTTTTTATTAGGATCATTTGTTTCTCGGCAGATTGCATTGAATTGTTCCAAAACTTCTTTTTGATCCGCTAGTAAATCATCGAGTGATACTGTTGTTGCAGCCTTCACATATTTTTCATACAGATAATTTTGTCTTGCACGTTTGATGATTTTATCATCAATATCGGTAATGTTCATCACATAAAAAATGTTATAACCGAAATAGTCAGAGAGTATACGTCGTAGAATATCGAAAGAAATGTATGACCTAAATGAGAAATTCATTGAATATACAGACGCTCGAAGTGATAAGATATTCCAAAAGATATGACGAAATCATTAAGATGAACGTGGCAGCAATTTTTAATTCAAACTTACCTTGCATGTCCCATATGCGTAGCATCGTATACTGTTGGGCCACAGCTATACCAAGTAACGTTATTTCCATTTAGTGGCACGAATTCTTCCTTTTGCCTTGTTAAGCTATTGAAGAGACGCAATTTGGGCCGGTCTGTAGCAGCCGGTGGCAGCCAATCTGGTTGAGTACGTTTCGACATGCTTAGTTGTTATACAGCTGTATTGGACGATTTGTGTTTAATTTATAATTTATTTCACTTAAACTAATTCACAGAAAGCACAGTTTGTACACAATTGATGATTAATATATACTTTCAACGTGTAAAAAGAAATTGCACCAGCCGTACCCACTTGACAGTTTGCAAGAATGCCTCTAGGAAATTAAGTCGTATATTCAATCAGCTGCGCTATTAAAGCTTCAGGGTTAGTGCACATATAACTTATACATTAGCGTAAAACGTAAATTAAGTAACGCATTGAATATTTTTCAAATCAATTCAATAATTTTTATATCAAAAAGCCTAAAAAAATATTATTTACAATTTGTGGATTCGTGGAAAATATATGAATAATGAGAGATGGCGAAGGGAAAAGAACTATGAACCAATTTAGAAACTTTTATTGAAATAAATAGTGGCGTTTCACAAACGGAGTTCACCGTCTACGTTCTTCGTCTACATTCAGTAAATGAAAGAAAATCGAATTCGCAGTATATTCTCAAATTCGCTTCAGTATCACTCACTTTATGGTCGTTTTGCCACATAATTGTAAACACAGCTTTATGCTTTGCGTGCGGGGGTAGTTTTAAGGCGAATTGAATTCGGCATGGGTAGTTTTTGAAATCATTTCAAGTATTCAAAATTTTCAGCTGCACATTTCTTTTTGTGCAACACAAGGGTGCAGTTCACACTAGTCACTAATTTTTGAAAGTTTTGTACTTAACTATTTGTGTATTAAATTAATATTTAATATTCTCTTTTTAATTGAAAATGATAATTAACGTGTGTGGTAGAAAGGTATCAACCGTTTATGCCGGTTGGTTAGGACTATTATTTTCCGCACTTATAATTCTTCCATGTCTCATGGCTCTGACATTTGCGGATGATCTTACTCGAAGGATCATGGATATTCCGGATGTAAATTGTCGGGTTAGCTACGATAAAGTACTTCATGGTAAGTCGCTTGCTCTAAGCTGTGTACCTACATATGTACTATGTATAAATTATTCTTGACTAATATTTGAGTAACAATATACATATATTATATTATAACTTTTTCCTCTCTACATTGCAGATGTGACTACGTTATGTAAAATTTCCGTCATTCTGGCCATTTTGAGTATGGTAGTAAGCTGTTGCTTAATAATAGAATTAGATAGGGTATGTTACTAATAAAATCTTGTTTATTTATTTGCATAAAATTATTACAACAATTATTATATACATACATACATATAATTTAACTCTGCTAAACATATCTACATTCGTATAAAAATGGCAGAAATTATTTTTATATATATATATTTTTTAACAATTGTAACCACACACATGTGGATGTATGCATGTATGTATAATGTATATATGTGTAAACACGGGAAAATTTTGCAGCTTCCTCGAACACTATTGCAAAGTATCAAAATACTGTTTTGAGCCACACTAGTATACATACACATTAAATGGCATACATACATATGTTCTTATATATGTATGTATGTATATATGTACATAAACACATACATATATATATATATACCTGTCACCATCCCCCTCAATGCAGCTGTCACTAATAGTTACCAGGCTGTTTCGTCAAAAATGCACTCATTTTGAAAATCGAATGCTTGGGAAAATATATATGATACTTTTTACCTGCACAATATTCAGTTTAAACATTTAGTATTTTCTTTTAAAACATTAAATTTACAAGTTGTATGACAATAGAAAGTTAATTGCATTAAAATGTTCAATATTTTCACTTTCTTGCAATTGAAAATATTTCTTTGTTAATTTACAATAAATAGCATACATATGTACATTCATACATATATTTTATATATAGTAGGTTAGCATTTGTTTGTATATATGCACATATAGATAGATATTCGAATTAACAAATTGTTACAGCCTTTATTGCTTTTTATTATTATCACCATCATTATTTTTAAAAATATTGTTTTTGTTCTATCTTCTTTCAGTTTGTTGTTCCCGTCTCCTGGAGGAGAGTTAATTCGACAAGAATCGATTCAGTTATTGTTTTTAATATCGCCGATTCTGCGACAGCTGCTGAGTCCAAGTCAAAGAAGTCAGAAAACTTAGAAAAGTTTGGAAAGCTAGAAAAGTTAGAAAAGTTAGAAAAGTCAGAAAAGACAGAAAAGTCAGAAATATCCATTGTATAGAAGTTTCAATTACTTCGAACAAAAGTAAAAATTACATACATATATGATATTTATATATATATATATATATATGTATATGTATTCTTTCGTATATGTATGAATATTTAGTTCAAATAATCCTTGAAACGTGTATGTTTCCAGAACAAATATAAAACAGGAGAAGAATTTACAAATTAGTATTAATAAAAACAATTTACTACCTCTAATATACACAGTCCTAAAAAAATATACAAAAAAAGTAGATTTAACTGACATTATCATCTTCACAAATCATACAAATATGAAAAAAGTGTTATATTTAGTAATATATTTTTTATAAAATTGTATTTATTAACTCAATTTTCTATGAATATGATCTTCATAAAATTAAAATAAATTCTCCCATATATACATATGTACGTGTTTCATTTGCAACAGCACTACAGTTACCTGCTTAGTGAGGTTAAATTAATGCTTCCATACCTCTTCTATAGCCCGCTGCAAAATAAAATATAAGGCCAAACAAAATGTCTGCCAATCATAGACAGGTATATGCATAAATGTGTATGTATGTAGGTATGTACATAATTTGCGCTTAAACTAGCTGTTCATTCTTTCAGCCTCTTGCATTATTACTTGCTGCAGTCGCGTCCCTTGGTTTTTCTATTAATTTTTGCAACAAACCATAAAAATTAATCGATAACCGATACACATTTATTAGGCACTTCTCATTGGCTGCAAATGACTTTCGATCTTCGGGGGTTGTCGAAAATCGAAGATCGAGTTTCAAATAAGTATTAGTGGTCGTCATCTAAACAGATAAAGCGATAAACTGCGTATGTGTATGAATACTTTACAAAAATTTTTTTCCATACAAATATTTTAATTTATTCATCAGTTGATAATTATATATATCAGGTTTATTAGACATTTGTTCTTAAATAAAGATTCCTATTATGTTTTATCTGTGGAAAACTTCGTTGAATATTCAAAATTTTTAGTAATTTGTAGAACACATCGACATTTCCTAAAGTCAAAAGTCGGAAGCATTTTTCATGGGTTTCTTTGAAGGAAAAATGTACATTTTTGAATTTACGCGGCAGAAGCAGCTTGCAGTTGTCAAAAAGCATACCGATGCGTTTTTTATTTAGAAGAATCTGCTTGGATGCACCTAGTCTAGAAAGTTTATTCTGCCTCTTGTTTTAATTCATTCAATTTGTAAACAATCCATGCCCGATCTATATATTTGTGAATGGCGTTTGAAATTCACTATAACCTCAACACAAAGGTCTCTTAAGCAAAATGGAAGGCAGTTCGTAATATGTTTCTGCGGGTTTATATCTATGAACAGTGTCCAAACGAGTTTCCCTATATTTATTTCAGTACAGTTGTTTCCGAAAAAACTGGCATATGCATGAAAAAATATTAAGATTTTTTTTATATTGTATATAATACAGACTACAAGTATTATCTGCATAAGATGGCTTTATTTGCAATAACTCGAGAATTATCTTCTAAATACATATATGAAAGCAGTATATGATAAAACTATGTGCATTTGAACTGCATTTGCGGATTTCAATTCATCAATACTACTTTATTTGAAAGGTTTTATCTATTGTGAATGGATATATATTCGCTGCTGTCAAAAGAAAATATACACACAAGACAAACACTGAAGAAAAAATATAAGGATGTGTAATAATATCAGCATGAAATATTGTGTTAAGGCTTATGTTTGCGAATGCATCAATTATTTTGATATTATTTAATAATTTTAGGAGAAGAATGTTAAATTGTCTTTAAAATATATATTTTTTTACCAATAAAATGCTGCTAATGGTTTTTTATTTCTACTTTTCATTTTTGGCCCAACTTTTTTGTCAAATTAGCAGAAAGCTAAATGCGCATTTTTGCTGTCTGTCATGTATAAAAAATTTCTGATATCACTAATTCAGCATACAGCATAAACAAGTAGATAAATTTTCACCATACTATTATTTTTCATAATCTTGTGTATGTCAACATACTTTTATACTTCTGTGCGGGGGTGGTTTCGAACTGATATCAATGTAGGTATACCGTTGTACACAAATTTATTTCCGCTTATGAAAAAGAAGAGAAACGCGAAACTGTTTAGTATCAAATTTGTTTTAGCTTGAAATTTAATTAAAATTAAAAAAAAATTAATAATGAAAATTAAATACCAACATTACGCACACTTTTGCGGTGTCACAGCGTCATACACTGTTAGGGGTTTGCTAGGTGTAATCTCTTCCAGTTTAAATATTATCTTGTGCTCCTTAGCGCTAATGTATCAGGATGTAATTGAAAAAGTGTTGATGGAGTCGGGAGATGGCAAACATTTGCAAATTTACTATTTGTTTAAAGGTAAGTGCACAATTTATGTACATATGTATATTCATATGAACAAATATTTATTTATTAATAATATTTTTAAACAAATTCGTTTCAACTTTACATACAAATGTATGTATGTATAGTCTTCATTGCAGCATTTTGGATTTGCATTATCATATCTTCTTGCCAACTGTTTGTGTCCATTTGTTTCATGTTGGGCTGTTATCAGGTATGCTACGTATACATACATATACACATATGTACATATATTGTATATGTATAAATATTCACATATTAATTTATTTATTTACAATTAATTACTCGGCATATATATATCATTTTATATACTCCCTTATATGTACATATGTATGTATGTATGTATGTCCATTTTTATAACTGGATATTACAAGGATACAAAAAAAAGTAAACAAAAAATAAAATAAAATAAAATAAAATAAAATAAAATAAAACAAAATAAGGGAAAAATGCATAAATTAATTAAAAATAGAACAAAATAAATAAATAAAGGTTTTTTCTGAAAGAAATAAAAACGAGCTAAAAAAATAAAAATAAAAAAAAATAAAAATAAAACAAAATATAATGAACAAAATAAAAATCAAATAAAATAAATCAAAACAGATAAGATAAACTTGACTCAAAAAAAAAAATTGATAAAATATAAAAACATAAAAAATGAAATAAAATAAATTAAAAAGAAATATATTACATAAGACCGATAAAAAAAAATTAAAATAAAATAAAATAAAACAAACTAAAAAGAAATATGTTATATAAAACCGATAAAAAATAAAATAAAATAAAGAAAAAATTCAATAAATAATAATAACAAAATGAACAAAAAAAAAAAAAATAAAATAAAATAGTATAAAAAAAAAACAAAAAATATAATAAAGTTCCTACACGTGGAATCTATATAAGTAAATGACAGCATTTAGGTTAGGTATTCTATATTCTATATTGAATGTTAAATCAAGTAGCAAGTAATTTATATTTTTTGCATTAAATTTAAGGCTTTATTTATCATAGTTAGAATTACTCTATTTACGTCAAATATGCAGCGATTTTCCCAATCACTTTATGCCATTTTGAAGGCAATGGCATCATGCATCTCTCATAGTAACCTTTGTCTTTATCTTAAGGCTAATTCTTCCGAATCTGCACTATGCATAAGAACCTTCCAATCAAGCACTCGGAGCTCCTGACGATGTGTGCGATCTGCCGCTGTTCTGATGAAAAATAATTCCACTCCTGTTGGCCTAAACTGGGTGTGGGTGGGCGATTGCTTCCTTCAGCGGGTCCTATAGCTTATTGCTGAATTAAGAGAGACGCTTATTCATAGCGAATGATCCCTAGACAATGCCATAATACACACACGAAAACTATCCTGACCATCAATGCTAGCTTGGACACCGCTTGTGCCGTATCACTGTTCTTTAGCCACGACTGACTTCCTTTTACGTTGCTGTAAGTGATCATCATTTCATCGGCAGTCACAATTCGCTTCGGAAATGCTTCGATTTTGCCACGATTGAAGCAGATAGGATATCGGTCTTTGAGGTTTATTTGCTCAATAGCTCATGTGGCATCCTAAAATAGAGCTTCTTTGTGTATCGAGCTTTTTTCAAGCGATTTCAAACTATGTATTGTACAATGTTTGGCTCCTGGGCAATCGAAACAGTACTAGCTTGACGGCCATACTTGACGATTTCCATTATTTTATCAAAATTTTCGACAAATAGCTATCCACACGCATTTCTTAAATCAAAATTACCCGAATGAAATTGACGAAACTATAATTGACAGCTACGGAACCAGAACCATAAACACTACTTGCGAGTTCAGTTGCCTGATTTACGTGTTCGCTTTTTGCGCAAAAAAAATTTCAGAATATAGCATATTAAATGTATATTTTTTCTTTTTATTAAACATCTTATATTCTCTCTCATTCCAGTTTTCTACACCGAAAACAAAATCCGTGTTGGTCAAGAAGAAACCCAAGGCAACTGTGGGGTCTAAAAGCTCAGCAGCTCTTTTGAAAAGCAGCGCTGCTCCAGCAGCGCCAGCACCAGCACCAGCTCCAGTACCGACACAAAAGTTAACTGTTTAAATATATTAAATGGAAGCTTCCAGGCCATATGCAAGCTAAAATTCCAAACTAATACTGCTAATCTCTACATATTAGCCAATCATTGAAAATTAACATAAAAAATAAAAGTTTGAAATATACGATATTTGTCAATGAAAAACGATAAAGAGACTAAGAAGAAATATAAAACTCAGGTTAAACGAAACTAGTAATCGTTTCAAATAAACTAGTAATCAAGTAATCATAGTTGTTGGAAAATAAAAAATAAAATAGAAAAAATGCCAAAAAATAAACTATAAAACTTATTATAAATGTAATTTCAGTAAAAATATATGTATTTTATTTGTGCCAACAAAAGTTGCAACTTTGAACTTTTTTTTGGAAAAATTGAACTGTATTGAAATCTTTAATATTTTCACTCTTTTGCAATATTAAAAAATGTAGGATGAATGAAACATTTACATAGGTTGAGAGTTCGGATGTATGTATAAATATTCAAACAGAAAAATTGTTATGGTTGTCATGACTATTTTCTTTTTCAAAATTCACTGTATTGACCTGTATTGAACTTACATATAAAAGGTTTTGTCCTTACTGGCTAACAGATCGACCTACAGCATAAAACGCTGATCGTAGAAACTTTACGATACGAAAGGATTTTCCGAGAAGTGGGCTTGGAACGTATCCATTTGAAACTAAATTTATTTTTAAATCGTATAATTTGGTACAAAGTTGTCTCTTTATCTAAACTGACATGTAGAACACTTTTTCTTCCGTGAAGTGAGCTTGGGTCGTAAATTTTTTTTACTTATTGTTTGATGTACAACTTCCGGCCTTAAATACCATTGGAACACTTTTTCTCCCAGGAAATGGACCTGAACTCAGCTGTAAAAAAATATGAAACTCTCTTTGAGAGGAAATGCTGCTGATGGATAGGACTGTTGTTGTTGTTTTAACCGCAAATTATTCCTCGAATTCGTTTTTGGGGAATATTGCGGGAGTGACAGTCCTTGGCCTGATAAAATCCGGGTCGTTCCGGTACAAAGACCCGACTATAGCGGGAACTATTAAATTCTAGTCGCCTCTTACGACAGGCATGCCTTACTACGGGTAAATTCTTAAGCCCCTAACCCACAGGGGTAGATGGATAGTGCTCAGACCTGTTGCTTAAAGTAGAAAATGATGATTTTCCGAAACAATTACCCAAGCATAAACAAGATTCACGATGGGTCCGCAAAATTTCTATGCGAGCATGTAATCTTAACACCAAAAACGTCTAATATGAAATGCTTTTAAAATCGGCGATAAACACCGACGACTCCATTCGTTCTCCGGCAGAGTACCTGCATAAACTAAAACCTCATGAAATGTGAAAGTATTGTATCGAAATGTAATCGAAGTTGTTTTCAAGGAGAATATTTATTTATTCCTAGGTTTCTCTTCATACCATCAAATTACTCCTTCGAGTTTAAGAGAGTGGGGTTTCCCATCAAAGTATGCTTAGCAAAATAATCCATGAAGTAATGGTTTTTTGTACACAAATCTGGGCATTTGTTTTTTGTGTGTGCCTACGTGTTTGCTACAAAGGAGGAGCCTTCAGCTTGTACTTTATACAGAAATGGTACATGTAAACGGCAAAAATCACGAGAAACGAAGTCATCAAAAGAAGCGTCATTCACCACAATATTCTGATGACACTAACTTGTCATGCAGCGAGTACATAAATTTTCGTAGACTGTTTTGATAATCTCGTGTATGTCAACATACTTTTATACAATACTTATCACGCGGGGGTGGTTTTCAACTGATAGCAAAGTGGGTATACCGTTGTATACACATTTATTTCCGTTTAAGGAATACAAGAGAAAGGCTAAATTGCTCAGCATCAAATTTGTAAAAGCTTGAAGAATAATAAAAATTAATATTTTCATAATGAAATTTGGCGGTATCTATGTGCCAGCACCACTAAGGTCTTGGGCGGCTGTAATATCTTCCAGTTTAGCGATTACTTTGTGTTCCTTAGCTCTTCTGTATCAGGATGAAATAGAGAAAGTGTTGTTGCAGTCTGCCGAAGATAAACCTTTGCAAACTGCCTTTATGTTTAAACGTAAGTACTATATATATATATATACATATATGTATGAACAAATATCAATTAATAATTTTAAATCATTTTTCCACTCGGTAGTCTTCATTGCAGCATGTTGCTTATGCATTTTCATGTCGTCTTGTCATCTACTTGTGGCCGTTTGTTTCATAATGGGGCTCTATAGGGTATGATATATAAAATTTTATATGTTTCATAAATTTATTATATTACTTAATGCATGTAAAAGTTTACAAAATATATTTAAATGAAATGAAATAAAATCAAATATTATAGAATAAATGAGAAAATAATAAAAAAATTTAAAAAAATATTTTTCAAAAAAAAGTAAAATAAAAAAATTTAGATATATAAAAAAAACTAATTAAAAAATTCAAATAAAAAACAAAAATTGAAAAAAAATAAAGTAAATAAAAAATAAATTAAATTAATATAAAATAAAATGAAATATAATAAAATAAAATAATATACAATAAAATAAAACAAAATAAAATAAAATAAAACGAAATATAATAAAATAAAATGAAATAAAACAAAATAAAATAAGACGAAATATAATAAAATAAAATAAAATAAAATAAAATAAAATAAAATAAAACAAAATAAAATAAAATAAAATAAAATAAAATAAATTAAACTTAAATAAAATATAATAATATAAAATAAAATAAAATAAATTAGACTTAAATAAAATAAAACATTATAAAATAAAATAAAACAAAATGGAATAAAATAAAATAAGATGAAAAAAAGAATAAAACAAAAAAATAAAATGAAATAATACAAAATAAAATAAATTAAACTTAAATAAAATATAATAATATAAAATAAAATAAAATAAATTAGACTTAAATAAAATAAAACATTATAAAATAAAATAAAATAAAATAAAATAAAATATAATAAAATAAAATAAATTAGACTTAAATAAAATAAAACATTATAAAATAAAATAAAATAAAATAAAACAAAATGGAATAAAATAAAATTAAATGAAAAATAATAAAATGAAAAAAAAATAAAACAAAAAAATAAAATGAAATAATACAAAATAAAATAAATTAAACTTAAATAAAATAAAATAATATAAAATAAAATGAAATGAAGTATAATTAAACGAAATAATATGAGATAAAATAGAATAAATAAAAAAAATTAATTTAAATTAAATAATATAAAATATAATAAAATAAATTAAAATAAAATGAAATAAAATAAAATAAATTAAAATTAAATGAAATAATACAAAATAAAAAAAAATTAAATTAAATGAGATAAAAAGAATAAAATAAACTTAAATAAACTAAAATATATTAAAAAAGAAGAAAAAATAAAATAAAGTAAATGAATTTAAATGAGAATAAAAAATTAAAAAAAAAAATAAAATAAAATTAAATTTAATTAAATAAAGAATCAGAAAAAATAAATGAATTAAAAAACATTAAAATTAAATAAAATATCAAATAATAATTAATTAAAATTAAATATGAGAGCAAGTAAAGTTAGAATGGTTTCTCAACATATTTTGTGTAAGAAGTATTGTAGAATCGAAAAAAATTGAGTACAACAACCGCATACCGTAAAAATATTCTGAGTTAAGTATTTATAACCAAATTCGTATGCACATAAGTGAGCAAGCCATGTAAGCGGGAAAATCATAAAAACATGATCGCAATATCACATCGACATCAAACCATATGATGCTAGTGATCATCACATAGATACAGCGTCCATCGCTACTTGTTATAGAAACGTAGATTACATCATATAGATCCAGCTGCCACCTCAGTTTTGTGTAAAAATCAACAACGGAAGTAAAAAATTACATATAGCACATGATCATCACAGCACATCACAATATCAAATGATATGATCTGATTGAACATCACATAGATCCAGCTACCAACATAGTTTTGAATACAAATCAACCACAAAAGTGAACAAAGCACATAATCATCACATCACATCATCATATCATCATATCATCATATCATATGATGTGATTAATCATCACATAGATCCTGCTTATGATCATATTATATCAACACAATAGCAGAATATTTGGAAACGCTTGCACTCCGTATTTATAGACATAGACATAGTAGTCTTAGAAAGAAATCACGTTACAACACTGTCATATTTGTATCAATATAATATATTAAGCAAAGTCTTGTGGTGACATTTCTTCCAAAGATCTCTGCACTTCGGCCGAAAAGCGCCAATTATGTACATGTATATACGTATATGAAAACCAGATATAAGTAGCGGAATGAAGTTTATGTATATCAGAAACATAATACATACATATAGTACATACACATGCATCCCAATCGGTCCAATGGAAGTAGAATCGCTTAAAAGAGCTTAAAAGAGTTTTATTTAGTGTTTTCTTCATTGCCCAAGTTGTGAAAAAACTACTCGTGGTTTATAATTCTTTTTAAATCTATTAAAATTCTACTTATTTTAATTATTATTCTTATGAATTTTCTATCCCTTTCCAGTGTTTTCAACCCCTACCAAAGAAAAAATGCTTCGTCTGCCAGAGCAAACCCAAGGCAACTGTGGAGACTAAAAGCTCAGCAGCTCTTTTGAAAAGCAGTGCTGCTCCAGCAGCGCCAGCACCAGCACCAGCTCCAGTACCGACACAAACCGTTTAAATATATTAAATGGAAGCTTCCAGGCAATATGCAAGCTAAAATTCCAAACTAATACTGCTAATCTCTACATATTAGCCAATCATAGAAAATTAACATAAAAAATAAAAGTTTTAAATATACGATATTTGTCAATGAAAAACGATAAAGAGACTAAGAAGAAATATAAAACTCAGGTTAAACGAAACTAGTAAACGTTTCAAATAAACTAGTAAGGAAGTAATCGTAGTTGTTAAAAAACTCTGTACTATCAGCAGGGAAAAGAAAAATTTTCATTTCCAAGCAACAAAAAAAAAAAAAAAAAAAAATGCATGCCATAAAAATAAACTATAAAATTTCTCTGACATCTATTTTATTTTAATTAACTTAATTATTAAATGGTTAACACTGCGTACTGCCATTCGTAATGCTAGGATTCTGGTACTGATTTGAACAACATCCAAAAAGTATAAAAAAAAAAATTTTCCAATTGCGATCGCCTCGGCGGGAAATCTCAACTCCTTCATAACAACTTCGATTGGTACTTCGTAAATAAGTGAGGCCTTATAACTTCGAAAAGAATAGACATAAAAAGTTTCAGTATGCCTTAGAGAAAGATCCCAATTCCGCCAGACACACCTACATACATACACGTAGTTAAGAATGATGACGCGACTAAGAATTTCGGGCAGTGGTCACATTGGCAGTTTTTATAAAATGGCGTATAACTGACTGCGGCAGGCTTACTGAGCTTTCTGCGCTCTATGCTTGGTCGGTTTTTTCGGATTCCATCAATCTTTATCTCTTTTAAGAGCACTATAGTCTCTCTCGGTACAATTCAACACCGAATTCATTACAATACAGGAATCGGAGTATTTATGTAAAAGTATTGAAAAAAAATATATGTTATTTAAATATTATAATTGTAATGAAAGAATTATACATGAAAATCCTTTTAGAATATTACATTTTGGAATATAATTAAGTTATTTTTATTAATTTTCTAAAATCACTCTGGATATTTTATGCATATTTCTAGCGGGCAACGCTGACGAAAGAACCCGATTTAAGTACGCCATATTTAAAATGTTGGCTTATGTAGCCAACAGAGGCGGATTGTGGAATAAAAGAAATGGTTTGATTTGAAATCTAAAAGCGAATTAAACTCAAAAATGTTGACACGAATGTATTTTCACAACGAAATAACAAAGTAATATTATAATTCAAGAACATTTAGTTCCAAGCTAATATTTTTTTATAAATTAATAAAAAAAATTATGCTCTTTTATTCACTTTTATTTAGGAAAAAAAAATTTTTTTTTTCGAAAACTAATGAATTAAAATAAAAAAATTATAATCCCAATATGCTACTGCAGCATTTTTCATTCAGTTTCCTTTCAGGCACAAAATGCAACACTGTAGCAATTGCCATAGTTATCTCAGCTGTAGGCGGATATGACAGTTCACTTATTTTGTTACCGAATAATTGACAACTGCGCCAGCAAGTAATTCATTGCAATAATATTTTCATAAGCGCAATAAACAAGTAGTGCATACAAATTTAAAGATATTGAGATATTGAGAAATTTAATTGCTTGGCATTGAATTTGAGTGTTTGTGCAATTTTCCGGCTGTGAAAATGTTGAAAAAATTCTTCTGTTTCCGTCTGGAGACGGCGGCTATGATAATTGGTTGGGTTGAAACAATCGGTTCGTTCTTATCAATTTTGTTATTTGGCTTTTGTTTGGGCTATGTCGATGAAATTGTCAAGCAAATTATTGAATCAGCGCCGGCTGATGAGCAGTTAAATCCAGATGAAATTCGAAAAGGTGTGTGTACAGTATATATGTATACCCTTATATGTATTTATATATATATTTTTATACATGTATTCTGTGGTAGACATATTGAAGGGAGCGTATTAACAAATTACGCATTCTAGTTTGCAGCTAATACTTTTGTTCTCCAAATTCTTATCTCTGTTTTCTATCTTTTTTTTAATATTACAGTTCTCATTGTCGGATTTGTGGCATTTATTGTACTGAGTGCTATCAATCTAGTTGCATCAGTATGCTTGTTATTGGGTACTATTAAGGTGAGTTCTAAATCATGTTTTGTTTTGAAACAATTTTATTATATAAATAAGTGTGTGTGTGTAAACGTACATATACAAGTAAATATGTATAGACACATTAAAGTAGATCTCGATAAAAATGAATATCGATTTGTGTATCGATAAAAGAAGAACAAACATTTTTTTGTTTGCTTATTTCAAATCTAATCTATATACATATGTATATATGTATAAAGGCACTACACATGAATTTGACGAAAAAAACTAAAACTTGAAATAATTTCAAATAAATAAATAAATAAATATATGCATATACATATGTCTCACGTTCATTTGTAAAAATGTGGTTATCTCCAAAAGTTACCGCCCAATTGACTTGAAACTTTGTCAGATTATTTTTATGATTCCTGGGAAGGTTTATACAAAAAATTCGATTCGTAAAGTAGGCTGACCAGATTGGAAAAATCGTATTTATAGTGCACAGGTGGCTTTCTACTTAGATTAAATAATGACTATTCTTCTGACGGCCGCGGTAGCTGAGTGGTTAGCATTGCGTACCAACATTAGGAAGGCACGGGTTCAAATGCCGGTGCCACCAATTTTTAAAAGTTATGGAAAATTAATTTAAATAAAATATTAAGTTAAGTTTTCTAATTGCGGTCGCCCCTCGGCAGGGAATGTGAAATGAAATAAAGACTCTTCACAAAAAAACCATCAGCCATTCGGAGGCGGCTTAGTATAAACTATAGGTCCATCCGTTTGCTGGAAAAACATCAAGATGCAAAACTACAAATTGGTTGCGGTTACAAAGCGCCAATTATAGATATATATTCTTCTCTCCGGGAAGTGGACCAGGGACCGAAATTTTCGAAAAAATATGTATTTATCTCCCGATTTATCTGAAATTCGTTGTATAGGTGACCTTTTGTAAGATTAAAATAAAGACTACTCTCCGGGAAGTGGACCCAGGATTGTTCTATTCGATTCTATTTTTGGTTCGATTTACTTTAAATTCAGTACATATATAGCCTTTTGTTTATATCAACAGGATTACTATTTTTCTCTCCTAGAAGTGTACTAAAGGCCGACTAATTCGAAAAAATCATATTTATGCCCGATTTAGTAGAAATTCGGCTTGCTCTTCTCCCCGGAAAGTGCACCAGGAGAAATCGCATTTATGGTTCGATATACTTAATGGCCTTTTGCTTAGCTTAACAGGAAGACTATTTCTCTTCGGGAAGTAGACAAGCGACCGATTTATTCGAAAAAATAGTATTTATGGTTTGATCGAGTAGAAATTCGGTACATAGGTAGGAAGCCTACTCTTTTCTTCGGAAAGTAATCCAGGATTTATTATATTCGGATAAATCGTACTTATAGTTCTATTTACTGGAAATTCGGTACAAAGATGACTTTTGGTTTAGATTAGCACGAAGATTACTCTTGCCGCCGGTAGGTGGAACCGGCACTGACCTATTTGCTGAGGCAATTTTCGACCAAAATTAATCACCGAAAAATCGGCTGCGACTTTTAGTGGCGAAAAAGAAATTAATATCTACTATATAACTGATATGTACTTCCATGAATAGGTAAAAAAAAATTACTCAGCTGCTGCAATATTTAAATGTCAAACTATGAATACACTAACATATGTATTTATTTAGCTTTAATCGAAGCTTAATTCGGACTTTTCGTTATCCTTTGACCATCACTTCCTCTATAATGGCAATTAAAAAAATTTAAATTGAATAAAATACATATAGACCAGCAACGTGTGTGTGAGTCTCCTAGAATTATTTTTAAGAATTAAAAAAAAAAAACTCACATACATACATATACTAATGCATCCTGATAGCTTAATATTTATATTACTTTGCTGAGGATCTCACCCTTTTTTTTTAAATGATAAATAGTGTACACATATGTACGAGTACATGCAAAATGTAATATACACACTCCTACGTGTATGTGCAAATAAATTTCGTATCAGTTTTTCATAAAGCATTCATTGTAGATAATGCCCCTGCCATGAGTCATTTGCCAATAATTGCATTACTTTACCGCGACACATACATACATACGTGTACAACATACAATACAGCCATTCCCGTACATTTTATCTGTTTGTATATAAATGTTTGGTGTACTTACATACCTATATACATATATGTAAATACGTGAAGATAAAAATCAAACTTTAATCATCATCATAATACAAAGAATGCCTTTACAATGGCAAATGTAAATACATATAATAGTATATGTACTATATACATACAGTGCGTGCCAAAAATAACCGAACTTTCTGGATATAAAATAAAATACACATTATATTATCTTTGAAAGCTATTATTTACTCAAAATAGGTTCCATTTGACTCACCACAACGTTTGGAACGATCAACCAGCGCATGCATCGATTTTTTATGTCATTTATAGAAATGTTCTTCAGTACCTCGGTTACGGCTGCTTGAATGGCTGGGATATCATCATAAAATGCTTCATCTTCATCTTGGTTTTTAGTTTTGGAAATAAAAAAAATAGTCACATGGTGATAGATCAGGCGAATACGGAGGATGGTCGATGAGAGAAATTCCTTTTTTCATTAAAAATTCGAGCGATTTTTTGGTCGTTATTTAATTCATGTGGAACAAATCGCGCACAGACCTTTCTTTTCCCCAAATCTTCAGCTAAAATTCTCCAAATGGTGTTTTTACTCGTATTCAATTCTTCAGCCAACATTCTCGTAGTAAAATTTGCATCGATATCAATGATTTCACGGACTTTTTCCACCAGTTCAGCACGATTACTAGTTTCTGGACGTCCTGCTCTAGGGTCGTCATTTAAATCCTCACGACTATGTTTAAATCGTGTAAACCACGTATAGACTTGCGTACGACTCATACAATCATCACAATAAACTTTTTTCATAAATTTTTTTTTCAAGTTTGACACAAAATTTTATATTTGCTCTTTGTTGTATTTTATTTTTGAACCATTAGCACACTTTTGGTTCTATTGAAATAGCTGTCACTTTTACATCTGTCATCCGACCTACATGATGTTAGGTGCGTTTGAAAGAGGATGAATGTATCTTTTTAATGTTGCAAATTTTTAATAGATGGCGCTGTATGTTGTATGGTTTAAATATAAAGTTCGGTTATATTTCGGACACACTGTACATACTCGTATGTACATAGATACATATTAAACGTATGCTTACATCGGCAATGTTTGTTCATTAGAATGATAAGGTATTGAGTTATGTATTGTACAAATAAAACAAGGGTAAGCCAGCCGGTGGCTTATTCTCTAAACTCCTTTAAAGGGTGTTTATTCAGACGTGTTTGGTTTTCAAATAGGCAAAACTTTTTTCGTAGTTGATTTTTTTGACAGCTTATTGGATTTATACTCTGTTTAGCTTGACATTTCTTAATAAACAGCCGAACGATCATCAATCGCGCCGGATGTTCAGTGAATAAACCCTAAACGACGTGGCAACCGATGCTGATTTTTACAAGAAAATTTTGTTAATTCCTCAAAAAAAACACAGTTTGAAGTGTGCAAAGGTTAGATGGAATCATTGGTTTATATATCTTTCTTCAAAAATGAAGCCGGCCGTTATGTTATGGTCAATGACAAACATTACGACTTTTTCCCGCGTCAACCATCAATCGTCAACCATTAGTGCTACTAACGGACATTGAAGAATCCTCATTACCGTCGCGGTTGAAGAGGTGGCTCATGGGCAACCTGAGTGGTCGTCAATCATCGGTAGAACTTCGGGTAGAAACATCAAAGCTAAGCAAGGAGTTCCATAGGATGGCGTCCTCTCCCTACTACTGTTTTATTTCTTTATTTCGAAGCTCTCTACTCGATCAGAAGGGGTCCAACCGACTAAATCCTCGGCTAACCTTTTCACCAGCTGGACGAAGGAGTACAGGCTCGAACTAGTTGTGAAGGTCAATGGCGTGAGAATTACGACCGTAAATAACCATGCACTCTTTCACTCCGCATAAGACCGCAATTGCCACAAAGCTCCAGAGCGGTAACAAAATATTCAAAGCGCTAGCCGGTAGCACATGGGATAAAAATAAAGAAACCTTGCAGGCAAGCTACAAAGCATTTGGCTGGCCGGTTGTCAACTATGCTGCGCCGATATGTGCACTGAGGACGAACGAGACGCAGATGAAGAAGTTACAGTGCGGCCAGAACACCGCCCTCACAACGGCGACAAGAAAATTCCTGATGTCGCCGCAGCATCACTTGCACAGCGAGGCATCTACGCCACGAGCTAAGGAGCATAATGTTTTGCTGTGCAAGTAGTTCCTATTGGGATGCTACCGCAGGGAACAACCCAATAGGTATCTTATTGAAGCTGAATCTCCATCCAAGCACATCAAAAGGGTGTAATAGATATGAAAGACACTATCCAGCAACACGTTCAACAACCGATGGAAAGGGCGGCGTACAGACAGGCAGTGAACACCATTAACCAGGAGTGCCCCCTCCTGTGTATGGCGTACTTGGAGTTAAATCATCCCCCATAGTAGACGAAGAGCTCTAGCTCCTCGAGAGAACCGCGTGATACTGGCACAACTTAGGTCTGGATACTGTATCAGGTTAAACTCCTACTAATCCAGACTCGACCACAGTATACATGGTCTAAAAAATCGTGCGGTTTAACAAAGCTAGATTATTTTTTGTGAGGTTATGTGTAGTCACTTGTCTACGCAGATAGGTCCGAGACGATTGACGAATTGGAAACGAATATTGGTCACGTTATTGTCGGCACACAGCCTCGATTGCTTCAAAAAGTAGTCGACATTTGAGCCTATCAGTTGGAATTTATTCGAGCCAACCGGGGCGGTCACTTATTTTGAAAACATTGTGGCATAACTATTTTCTATTTTCTCAGCAATTATTTCATATAAATGCATGGTTATTTTCGTAAAAATAAAATTTATTAAAATACTTTTCATTTTTATTTTCAGGAACGTCATCTTTTAATATTGCCATGGCTCTTTAATTCGCTCATATCCCTTCTATTCGGTTTTATATACTACATAATTTTAGTTGCTGGATCGCTATCGATCTCATTTTCGTCTGGTATCGGAACCCTATTATCGATTTCCATCAGTTTGGGTAAGTTTATAAACTAAAAATAAAAAGATTCACCTCAACTTTTTGGAAAAACAAATTGGTCATGAAGCCCGTAGCTAGCAAAGTTCGCTCCAAAATTACAGGATTGATGTCAAAAATGTTTCTGATTTGCTTAGAAAGATTATAGAACTCATGACGAATCATGGGTGATATGGTTACATTCTTATGAAAGAGTCCATGGGCGCCAAGACCGTAAAAAGCACGCCCGGTTCGACGAAATGTCAAAGTATGGCTCACAGTTTTCTTCCATCATGGGGGCTTAGTGCATCGGGAGTTATTATTACGACAGGGTTATAGAGTTAAAATCACGGAATTTCCGAAAGACAATTCAAGCTAAAATTCAGACTGTAATTATGCCTCTACAATGACTTCAAGAATAGGTAGAAACGGCATTCAAATGTGACGGCGAAGAACTGACAAGGTAAATGAATAAGCATCTTTGCAGAAAGTACGTCCTAAACTGTGTTAGGTCGCCGAATACGTGACAGCTCTTGGGTGGCTGAAAGCAGCTTCAATTTCGGTCTGTCCAGAATATTGATAATCCTAATCCTGATAATCTTTGTTCAACATGATCTACTTTGGACTGAATAGGCCATTGAAAAGTAAAGTCTTCTCCCGACAAACAAAGATCAAGTTCAACTAGTCGGTCATCACGCCCGTCCTGCCAAACGACGAAGTGCGGACGAACATGTCATTTGATAAGTCACGCTTGGCGGGTTCAAAAGAAAGGTTTTTGCAAACGGTTTGAGAGCCTGTGGGCATTGAGAACGGCACATATCCCAGTCGCTGGAACGATGAGGTGAACGAGTTTTGCGACGACTCCAGGACTTCAGCTTAGAAGTGCCATATTGCAGAAGAACCTGACATTGCAAGTCTCCAACCGGCACCTAACGGCTCAGAAAACGAATGTAAAGAAGAACTTAAACTCGATTGAAAATTAATAATTATTTCATTTATTATATATATGTATCTCACCAAATGTAGATACTTACATATACATATGTACATATACGAGTTATTTAGTAATTGATAAAATACTTAAATAATTATACCATTTATTTTATTATTTCTTTTTTTCAGCCTTACACATCTACACTTGGCTTGCCATGTATTCGCATTTCAAAAATATTCGCAACAATCGCGACCAACAAGAACAACTACTTCGTCCTGCTGGTGGCGCCTATCCATCATACACCAATATTTAATGAAAAAATATGAGATATGTATATACATATGTACTAACAAAAATAAGTACGTAAACATATGTACATGTACGAGTATGTGAATCAAAATATTTTACATATTATATATAAAGTTTGCCTAAATGTGATTGTGATTGGCCAATAAAAGAGAGATTTTAACTAAGAAATGCAAAATTTCAGACTTACACACACTTATACATATAAATATATAACGATTATTAAACTACGAGTATTACTAATTAACGTTCAAACATACATATATACCTACGATAAATATAATTTGATTACCTGAGCAAATTAATTTTCATTTCTTATTTATAATTGGATATTTGAGTTAATAAATAATGGGAAAATCCAAAAACATTTTTAAAGTGTCGATGGAGATATCTACAGTGGGGGACAAAAGTCAGTATATGTGTTCAAGTTTCACTTTCGAACCGATTAAAAAAGGAAGTAGTAAAGCAAATGAATTTCTCTACTTTATTGGGTCTAGAGAGTTATCCACTTCGTGGTTTCAAATGAAGAGAACTGTACTCTCATATCTGTCAAACTTAACTGTCGAACCAAGCATGTTTTGTTTTAGTTAAAATCAGGCAATTGTGAAAAACGAACGCTTAACAACCGCACAATGCGTTAAAATAGTTAAAACACTAACAGCCGAAAGTGTCTATTTTACGACGTTCTCAAGAGTTGGGACTTTTTTATGGCACAATATGGAGTATATGCAATGAGACAGGTTTTTCACTCGGGGCATACATAAATTAGCAAAATTGTCGAATTTGGGGCTTCAAGAATCCTCAAATAATTGAAGAGAGATCATTGCACACAAGAAAGAAAACTTACTGTCTAATGCCTTCTTTGGTCCGAGGGTGTGATTGGACTTAATCTGTTGAAAATGACAACGGCGATACTGTCAACTGTCAATTCAGCCCATAAGGGTTGTATGATAACCAACTTTTTTTGGCCTGCAATTGAAGAACAAGACTTGGACAATATGTGGCTTGTACAAGATAGTGGCACATACCACACAAGACTAGGGAATATGACTTTATTGCGAGCGAAAATTTCTCGCCTTGGCGATATCAATGGACCACAGAGAGCGTGCGATTTTACACCGTTGGATTTATTTTTGCGCGGGGCTACGCGAAAAACCGTGCTTAAGTGTATAAATCTATGATTCTTGAGCACTTGTAGACCAACATTCGTCAAATTATGGCTGAAATATCGCACAATATGTGCTAAAAAGTGGTAGAAAATTACCTCAAAATGAATTGAAGTTTGCAAAAATTCACAAGACGGGCATTTGAATGTTCGAAGGTGTTTCACATTTAATGTCAAGGTTCAAACTTTATAATAAAAAAGGAATTTTATTTTATTTTATTTTATTTTATTTTATTTTGTTTTTTCATTGTGTGTATATTTTCGAAACTGCAAAATGGATAACGCCGTATATATTCAATATACTACAAGTCAGTGTCAAACAATCAATGAAAATATGGGTGCGGAAGAAGAGATAAAACGACTTTGGACTGTGTAGGCAATTGAAAAGTGGAGTCTTTCTTCGACGAACAAAGATCAAGCAATACAAGCCGCTCATTATTCTCGTACTGCGTGAACGATAACGACATCTGACTGATGAGCCAGGCCTAGGAGTTTTCGTGAGAAAGGTTTTAACGGAAGATTTATAATCCTTTCCGCATTTGCAACCGCGCAAGCCGCAACCGATGGAACGATGAGCTGTACGACATTGATATAGTTCAGTCAATAATGAGACAGCGACTACACCATCTAAGTCAAGTCCTCCGAATGGATAAAAGCACTGCAGCTTTGAAAGTATTCGATGTGGTGTAAGCAGAGGAAAACCTCCACTTCGTTGGAAGGAGTGTGACCTGACTTCATTTGATATTTTCAACTGGCGCTAAACAGCGTAGCAAACGCAAAAATATGTCCCAAAGTACTTTTTAGGGAATATTACGGGTGTGACAATCCTTGTCGTTCCGTTGTAAAGACTCGACTGTCACTGAATCTATTGGATTTTAGTCGCCTCTTACGACCGACAGCCATGTCTTACCACGGGTAAATTCTTGAACCCCTAACCCGCGGGGGTGAGAAGAAATGTAAGGCGTGCTGCTACTACCCAATCGCCTATAATCGCCTAAGCAGTGTCCACCCCAGCAAAGAGGAAGAAGAAGATGAAGAAGATAAAGTGTTTATATAGATCTTGTTCCGGAAGTTGACTACGAAGATTGTTTAAAGCCATTATTTCCCGCCTTCATTCCGGCCGGGTATGCATTGAGCTCGCGTAATGTTTGTCACATATATATCTACATATGCAAGTGAATTGCAGCGTTCTTCCGCCGTCATTGCATTGCGCATGCAATCTGAATAACGCATAAAATCCACCAATAATTTTAAAAGCAATTTTAGTAGGTAATTTGGCGCTCGCTCTTATGGCACGGCATGATCGATCTTCTATCAAAAAAAGAAAAAAAATTACTTTTATTTTCCGTCACCTTGTCGAGAGTCAGTTAATAAATTCAATCACTTCTAAAGAGTTAAGAAGAAGAAAATTTGTATAGAAATAATACGGAAATGGTTAACAAATTCTGCTGCTTCAGCTTGGAGGCGAGCGCGAAGTTCTTCGGCTGGTTAGGCTGCATTTCAGCCACTGCCTTCATTGCTCTTGACTCTTTTTTTGGCTTATTTTATACGCGTGAAATTATTCAAGCTGTGACTGGGAAGGATCAAAATGTCGAGGAACAAAGTTGTAAGTGTGTATGCGTTGTTAAGACATACATATGTATATGTATATATATATATATATATATATATATATATGTTAATGTTTGTATCAAACATTAGTTTAAATTTATCAGGTGTACAACTTTGCTTCCGCCGTTTTCCGATAGATGGCTGTACCGGCTGCGGCTGGTTGAAATACATAGATGATAATGCCTTTAAAGTGAGTGTGGACAGTGCCTAACGAATTGTCAGCGCCGTTTCAGTGACAGTTGTTCTTGTTTTCGTATTATTCACGCTCGAAAATGTCCGTTTATGTGCCAAATTCTCGTCATTTGCGGGAAGTTTTACTTTTCTGCTACAATTCGAAAAAAAAATGCAGCTGAAACGCATCGAATGCTCTCAGAAACTTACGGTGATGCTGCTCTGAGTGAAAGAACGTGTCGGGAGTGGTTTCAACGTTTTAAAAATGGTGATTTCGATG